TTAAAAAAAAAAACATCATCATAAGCCACTTCGATTTAAAGCTTTCGTGACTGCAGGGATTAATCTTCTTGGTTCTTTCGGTAAAGTCACGTAGAATGGAAATAATAAAATAATAAAAATAAAACATGATAAAATAATTATTTTATGAAGTTTTATTTTTTAATTTTATTATTTCCATTCTACGTGACTTTAAAATAAATAATTAAATACAACACTATTTAATAGTTATTTTATTTAATTTTTTATTTTATTATTTTATTATTTCCATTCTCCGTGACATCACCGAAAGAACCAAGAAGATAAGCCACTTCGTTGAGCTATCATTTGTGGCCAGGTCACTTCTGAAAAAGAGTTGCATAGCTCAGTGGGCCTTACCTTGTAAATTAAAAACAAGTCTATAGTCTTATATAGTTTATAATTTTTCTACCTTCACCTGTCGGCCCAGCCCCGGATCGCGCAGTGGTTAGAGTACGCGGCTCGCAATCAGAAGTTCAAATCCTGGTTGAGGGTAAATTCAGCTCTTCACTCACCCCCACCGCGTTCCCCTGGATGATGAGAAAGCTCCGGAAAATAAGACGCACATCAAACGTGTTCCAGGTGTCAATAAAATAATACAAATCTGGTTACATACACACGCACACACACTTAGCGGAACATAAGATGCCCCCGCTCTCAACTTTTGATTTAAAATGCAGGAGGAATTAAGAGTGTGTCTTGTAATCCATAGAATATGGTGCCTCTTTCTACGGTACCAACATCAATGCTTGTCCTCTGGAAAGGTTTGCCCTTGCCATACCAATGTGGAATTTCGAATTAATGTTCAGGTCTGTAAATAAATAGATTGGAAAATGCCTCGCACTCAACTGAGTGGGGAAACCACTGATTTATTCTGCTATCCCATCAATGCGGTGTGGATCTGAGTTACTTTGGCTAGATGTGGGAAGAGGCAGACCTGAGTCAAGAGGAGTCGGACTTTATACTCATTCCCTTCGTAACCCTCCGCACCACACTCAATGGTATTTCACCACCAACCCGTAAACATCAGACTCGGTTTTCTTTCCAGTGACTAAAACCTTCCCTCTGTACCGGATAATTATTGCTACGGTCTCATATAAAACACAAATTCAGCTGAATTTGGAAAATTGCCGTCATGTCTGAGGTGACGCACCCATGTCCTACCCCGCTGCGCTCAATAGAATTCAATGTAAAGCAGTTAGACGGATTGACGATCCAGTCCTCAACGATTCACTCTCACCGGTGGTCAGTCACCTCCTAGTCACTCTTCTCTTTGTATAACCATGGTCACTCTTTACGCGAACTTCTTCACCAATTGATTCCTCCACTCAATTCGTGGACTTTGTCACCAGACACCGACTGGTTTGTCTCGTCCACACTGTGTTCGGACACCACACTGCAGGTCACAACACCACACAAAGCCAAAGATACCCCTATAGCCTTAAAAGACTGTTGGGGCAAGTGCTGTTAGCGAGCACCTATGAAGGCCAGAACGGTACACGAGGGGTGCGTGGCCAGCACCACGCCCGACCGCCTTTGTCTCCCCAATGGCGATGTTTACACACCGCACCAGGTACTCATTTGAGGCTGAGTCGACCTAGGGCAGGCACAGGACCAGTTCAGATAATCGTAACTGGGTGTTGACCGTGAATCGAACCCGGGTCCCCGGGTTCGTAGCGCAGCGTAGCGCTAACCGCTACACTACCGCTCCCCACTACAACACCACACACACACTCACCCACCCACTCTCACACTCATCCACACTCACCCACACACACACTCACCCACCCACTCACTCACACACTCACCCACACACTTACCCACACTCACCCACACACTCACCCACACTCACCCACCCATTCACACACTCACCCACTCACTCACTCACTCACACACTCACCCACACTCACCCACACACTCACCCACCCACACACTCACCCACACTCACCCACACACTCACCCACCCACACACTCACCCACCCACTCGCTCACACATTCACCCACACCCACCCACACACTCACCCACCCACATACTCACCCACACACTCACCCACTCACATACTCACCCACACACTCACCCACCCACTCACCCACCCACTCACCCACACACTCACCCACCCACACACTCACCCACACACTCACCCACCCACACACTCACCCACACACTCACCCACCCACACACTCACCCACACACTCACCCACCCACACACTCACCCACACACTCACCCACCCACACACTCACCCACACACTCACCCACCCACTCACCCACTCACACACTCACCCACACTCACCCACACACTCACCCACCCACCCACTCACTCACCCATACACCCACACACTCACACACTCACCCACACACTCACCCACCCACATACTCACTCACACACTCACCCACCCACCCACACACTCACCCACCCACATACTCGCTCACCCACTCACCCACCCACACACTCACCCACCCACTCACCACACTGCAGATCACGACACGTCTCTTTCCACTTCTTCCCCTGCACTGCTCAACTTTGGAATTCTCTCCCGACGTCACTTTTCTCTCCATTCGAGAAACGCATTCGCTCGTCCGTGTTACGACTTTAATAGTGCCGCTTGTTTGCTGGCCCCACTGGCGTTTTGGGCCTACGCTCAGCAACTGTTGAATAACAACAACCCACACACACTTGGAGATGAGCACATGCATTGTCCCCATGACGTTACCGAGCCCCACACACGCCCGTTCCAGACGAGCTAAACTGCAGTTTTAAGCAGTTATAATCGCCTCTTTTCTTAATAATTTGCACGCTAATTAATGTGGATTATGATGTTCATATAAACGCCAGAGACGACGTGCTGGCTCCGTCGGCCTCCATCCACATCTCCCACTTTACGCCTTTGGATGATGAACATAATTACAGGGTAATACGACACCCACCCTGTGACACAATGCCGGGTCTTCAATCAACCCTTTAATCTGAGCCGCATTTTGCCTCAATTCTAGCGTTGAGTAGACGTGCGGCAAGCAGGCTTCGAAATGTCCAAATCCCACATGCTTTCTCCCACCCCAAGTGAGAGTCATTTGGGAATTTCGACATCCCGTCAATGTGAAAGCGTTCGGGTTAGATAAGAATTGGGGTAGATAAGAATTGGGGTGACCATTTATGGCCTTGTCCTGTGGACAATATCTTGGAGCCTCTGTGAAGTGCACAATAACCCGCGTGGGATGTATAAAGCTGACGGACGTGAGATGGCATTTGCTGTGCTCAGCGTTAGAGTATGCTTTGTAAGCGCATATGCATGTCAGAATTCATATTGGCGGTACTGCATTGTGTATGAATTTTAACGTTGACAATTTATGATAGGGAAGCACAGTAAAATTGCTCTGCATGTAGGTATACAGAGCACAGTTTCAAAATTAGTTGATTTTTTTTCTCAGCACCACGTATACCCTCGATCATAAAACACCACGTATCTTGTATCATACGTCGCTTTAGTAGGCCTTGGAAGCTAAGCCGGGGACCAGCCTGGGTGTGGTGGGCAGCAGAGGGCAGTGCAAAATAAAAAATAAAAAATCTGTCGTACTGCACATGCACGCTTTCACATTTGTGCTCCCCACCTTCACCAACCTGCACTGATGAGAAAGGTGAAATATGGTCAAGTATCCCCCTCGACCTCGGATGGCTTGTGTACAGAACAATGGAGAGCTACGCTTTCTACATTTGCCACCCCAGGTGGTACCCACAACCCTGCCCCCTCCCTGTTGGCTCATGACCTAAATGGTGAGGTCATCCCTGCAGAGACTAAAATTAAATGTTGTGTGGCCCATGCTTACGATGACACCTGTGCCAAGATGTCTGGACTCCGCTTGTACTCGGGGATTACTGTGATGGAAGCAGCGCCACAGCAATGAGCTCATTGCCTTGACGAATGAGGCAGCTAAATCACAGCAGCAGCAGCAACACCCATCACACTTTTAACATATGCCTAACAGGAGGCCAGAAGTGGCATTGCACAATACAATACAATTTGAAACTTGATTTGAAGCTTTCGTGACTGCAGGAATTACTCTTTGGTTCTTTCGGTAAAGTCAAGTAGAAAGAAAATGAATGAAATAATAGAATACGACGTTCCAAGCAGAGTTCAAGTTCATTTATTAGGTATAGCCCTGTGAGCCATTCGGCTCTTGAATCGGGTGCAACCGCAACAAACAGAAAATACAAGAAAAGACAGCAAAATATTGCAGAAAAAACACCGTACACCAACGCTGTGTGCAAAAATCCCAGTGGGATGCAAGTCAAACAACCAACAAGAGAGAGACAACACAGAGACACACAGAGAGAGACACACAGTATAGACACAGAACAATACAATTTCCACGTAAATTTTGATTTATAAAGCATCTAAATGCAATTGCATCTCATTCGCACTCCGTATAATAACTGTGTTTTTTATGATATATGATCACCATGAATATCAGTTGCAGTATGAGGATAATGTATTTATATATATATAACAATGATCCGTCCTCATCGGTTTACCCAAGGATGAACTCTCATAGCCTAACACAGGGTTTCACATGATACTGGTCGTGCATGTGATTTACATTAATACGCAATGTATTAATATGCACACAAACAACATTTCAACGATTATATCTGCAAACTACAACCTACTGTTGTGATGCATGTTAATTGCCCGTTTATGTCCAGTTCAGGGTAGATTACAAATCATTCGCAGAATCAGATGGATGGATGTTCTTTGATATTCCTCTCAAGAGACGACTTCCACGTGTACAGATCGAGAGCACTGTCCCTGCATGCAGTATTACAGGTGAAAGAATCGAAGGAGCCTACGTTAATTGGCTTTCGTTAAACCCATGGCCTAAAAACGAGGTCTCAGCGGAGGACCAGGGTGTCCGCGGCGAGGTGCATCTCTTTGCCGTGTGTCGTCGCTTCACCTCACGACCCCGGTGTTCCTCCTTTCCCACTGCCAGACACGCGACGCTGCAACGAGAGCGTGCAGCATGGGGAGGGAACACCCCAGCCAGAGGTCCATCATCTTGAAGACAGGAAACCGCTCGCGGTAAGCACGCGTCTTTCTCCGGGCGTCTGCGAATCGGCACAGCAGCTCATTTCAGTACCCTCCGATTAGCACGGTTGGCTACGTACGGTGCTAAGGAAGTTCAACGTACGTACGTACGTACATTAAAGAAGCCCTGAAGTTATATTGATCACGAGTGCAGTAGAACACCTTTTTTCCCTGACCACATTGTTCGCTGTTCCTGTTAACCATAGGCCCCGGGCAAATCTTGTGAACCTTTTAGAGCTCGTTGTCCTGTTTTTTTTATGCTAGATTCGCTTCTGTTATCTTCCTGTTTTTTCTGTTTATATAATAGGTAAGAGGAGTTCCTGAAAAGTGGCTGCAGATAGGGGGAGTGTATGGAAAATTCATTGCATTATCCACATTTAAAAAAATTGGCTGTAAATGTTATTATTTTTATAGATAGTCATAAATAAACTAATTTGGTAATAGCACCCCACATCATTACAGATAATTTGAGTTGTATTCTTTGCCTCTTTACTTGATTTGACAAACACATGCTGCATCCCTAAAAAAGGTAAAAAAGGTCATTTAAACTAATTAACTTTCATTTAAGTTATGAGAAACGTTCTCATTCGTGAAGCAGTACTACATCTGGCTTATTTTTTTAACATAGCCCATAGGTCATTCATAGTAATGTAAAATTTATAGAAATGATCCCGAATACGTGAACTAGAGAGCAATATGCAGGTTTAAAGACATAATTCAAACAGTTGAGGAATGTTAAGTGGGCTAGGGTAGGACCCGTTGCTGTAAGGCATGATCGCCCACGGTCAAAGTAATAACAGCGTCATGGCCCATGGTCAAAGTAATACCAGTGGCATGGCCCCTGGTCAAAGTAATAACAGTGGCATGGCCCACGGGAAATTAATAACACGGTGGCAGTGAAGGAAAGGAACGTATCTGAGAGGACATCCAACACAGACATGGAGTGATGAATTCAGCTCACGTGCAGAGGGTGCCAGGTTGACTCGTACATCGCAGGATCATGAGAGGTGGCGGCAGCTTGAGGAGGTCTTCATCCAGCGATGGATTGACCATTGGCTGACGATGGCAAGAATTACAATCAACTGATGCGTAGGGCTTCTTTATCCAATGCTGCGCACACACATTGTTATATTTTGGTCCGTTGGTCAATTAATGAAGGGTCATGGGCCTTTCGTGGGTTTTGTAATAGTTTGAGTGTTTGAGGACTGACTTATTCTTTTCAAAGAAGTTGGCCACATAATATCGAGCCATCACAGGAGTTTGCTCTCATATTGTAAAGGGCTTTGAGGCCTTGTGTGAGTTTATGATTATTATTGTTAAACACACGTTTTACACCTATGCAGCTTCACGTTCCTCTCGTGTTTGAATGATGTCATGAACCTGCGTATATGTTTGATTGGTTTGACCCAATGGGTGGTATTTGCTTGAAATTCATTTTTCTCCTCAACGCTCATACATACGGTATGAGTGATCCTTTTATGAATCACTCAGTGATTTCATTCCCTTAAACATGAAGGGTGTGCATTTTAAACGCCACAATTACAGCTTATTCATTATTTGTGCGGGGGGGGGGGGGGGATAGTCATTCATAAGAATAAAAATAATAATTGAAGACATTCCAGAGCATGATTTAATGGGGCCCCAAATTTGCAACGTTTTGCTGCACTTTGCGTCACCTGGCAAAAGTGGCTTTAATGAAGGGATTAGGCCAGCCCAGGCATGGATCGTGCCCTTGATTAAAACACCTGGTATGAGGCACACAGTGGATTTAACTAACCACAAAGCACCGCTCCAAACCCCTTGTGACTTATGCACAGTGTCGTGTAGAGTAAGGGCACCACGGTGGCGAGATGTTAACTACCTCACCTGGTATGCAGGAGGCCGTGGCTTTCGATCCCGACCCTGACGCCTGTTGTATATTTGAGGTTTGCTTGTTCTAACCGATGGTCGCGATGATTTTTCTCTGGTGTCCTCTGGTTGTTCCCTCCACATTTAGAATCAACATGCGTGTAGAGAGTATTGGCTGCGATAAGTTTCCGCACGATAAGCCGCTTCGTTGAGCTATAATTTGTGGCCATGTCTCCTCTGCAAAGAGCTGTATAGCTGAGTGGGCTTTCCCTGGTAAAATAAAAAATAGTTTGATCCTTTCTACGTGACTTTACCGAAAGAACCAATAAGATGAATCCCTGCAGTCACGAAAGCTTTAAATCGAAAAATAGATTGTGTTCAGTTTTTTAGAGAAAGCACATCACATTTTCACAAGTACCTCTGTACGTGTGTATGTTGAACTTATTTCGCCACCGTACGTAGCCAACCATGCTCATCGGAGGTGGCCGGGTGACTCAGGAGGCTGGTGCCAGAACACTGAGCCGGCACCGCTCAGGTCTTTGGCTCCAATCTGTGTCGATGGCCACGGTCTTGATGGGTGCAGCTTTGTTGCCAACAACTGTCTGAAAATATACATCGTCCATAATATGAATTATATGAAACTTGCATCGTATAAAATGTTAGTTTTTCACCGGAGCTGCACATTGCAACGGTGGGATTTAATAACGAAACAATTACTTTGAATGATAATGCGTCGAGCACTTTTTGCGGGTCCACATACGAGGCACGTGGTAATGATGACGCCTTTGAAGAAACTTGAGAAGAAGTGGGGTGAAGTCATCTTCCAGGGCCGTCTGACACAAAGTGAAACACTGATAGCTGTGAGAGCACCACGTGCGAAATTACCTTCTCACGTTTATTGCCTTCTTGGGCAATTTAAATATAATTGGAAAAAGTGAAATGTTTTTTTGTATTTGAACAACACGAACAACATCATTAATCACCATCTTTCCCGGACCTTTTTTTACATTAGGCTCTCAGCACACATTGATCTACGATTCTTGTGAAGAGCTAATATGAGTAAATATTCATTTACGAGCCTTGTGGTACACATGATGGAATATTATGGCATATGGTGACAAATGCGCATTTTTACGTAAATTCACTCTGGTTAAAAAAAACTTAAGGTAAAGTCAAGATGCTGTGTTCTTTGTGAGTGTGTCTTGATTTTGAGTGCAATGGCAAAAATGCCGTGCCTGCTGCTCTCTGTCTAATGAGTTTCTCATCTATTGCAGAAAATGTTGAAAAAAAATTTGGTTCAGTGCTGTCGAGATTATTACATTGAGGCCGATGTATTATTTTCTGTGTTGTATGGCTCACTTCTTTCCACGTGCTGCTTGAATACTTTGCCTTGTGCATGCACTTGTCTGCACGTGTGCACATCAAACATTGCAGTTATGTATCATGGGATCTTTTTCGCCACTATCAAAGTATTAAAAGTAAGAATAGGTTATACTCTTTTTGGCAATAAAACAGGGGTTAAGATTTAGATTTAAAGCTTTCGTGGCTGCAGGGATTCATATTCTTGGTCCTTTCGGTAAAGTCGCGTAAAAGGGAAATAATAAAATAATAAACATATAAAACAAAAACAATCTCAATCATCATCAGGTGTGATTGCGTGTGTTGCAGTCGAAACGTCGTGAGAATGTTATTGTTTTATATTTTTATTATTTTATTATTTCCCTTCTACGTGACTTTACCGAAAGAACCAAGAATAGGAGTTAAGATGCTTCAAACTCCAAAGAGAAAACTTTGGCAAGGAATCAGGTCTGCATCAGCCACACATACTTGTTGTGAACATGCAAACAATTATCAGAGGATTTTTTTTGCATGTTGCATTGCGAGAAAGGGTAAAATCTATTCTTATTTTTTCATACTATTACATTTATTTTATGAAGCGATTTCAGCGGAAAGGATTTCTGTGAATTGCATTGAACACTGAAATCAGAAATGGAGTTATTTTTAGAATGCATGTCCCTTACGAAAGGTTATTATGAACATAACCACCGTTAGTAACACAGATCCAAGGCTGCGGTGACATTAGATTTAGAAAATTACAAATTGTAATTGGATAGGGGTCAGATGAGGAGTGGCGCAGTGCTTCATGCACTGCACTGTGACTGCATTGTCCCGAGTTTGATTCCTGATCACAGCCAACATCAGATTAGGACGGTATTTATTGACTGTGTTCATAACTACTTTACGAATTTGAATGGCAAGAGCTGACTGAACGTGCTAAAATTAGAAACTCAGTGTTGTCGTTGCCTGGTGAAAAATATTCGCATCTAGCGCCCGATTAGTGCTCCCAAGATGCTCGCAGCGATAGATACATTTCATTTTGCGGGTCGTTTTGAGGCGGGCCAGCCTCACGTGGCCACAGGGCCGGATGTAATGAAGTCGCGTGGAGTAGGTTCCTCGACCTCTGTGGCAGGCCCTTGACTCTTCCAGAAACGCTAATCGCTGCGATTGACCCCGCCGGCAGGTCAGGGTGAAGCATCCGGGCGGAGCCGGCAACTCGGCGGTGCACCCACGCTCCCCCGTGCTGCACTGGGATGAGCTCGTGCCCAGGACGGGGTCATCGCGCCGACAGAAGCGCCAGTGGAACATCCCACTCATCAGCCTCTCCGAGAACTCACTTGGACCCTTCCCGGAGTTCCTTGTCTCTGTGCGTGCGAGGGATGGGGGGGGGGGGGTCCACGTTCGTTGTCATCGTTATCGGCAGCAGCAGCAGCACCACCATTAGAATCATCATCAGCAGCAGTAGAATCAGCAGCAATCGCATCATCTTGTTTAGCGGTACCATCAGCAGCAACATCATCTTCATTAATCAAATCGGCAGCAGCATCATCAGCAGCAGGATCGACAGCAACACCATAGGCGGTTGTCATAGTCAGATGCGGGGCTGTGCTACGTTGTAGGCAGCGGACGCCATGCAGCATAATTATTGTACTCTACATCTATGCGTCCACGTCTATGATCCTTCACGAGCCGGCACTGACCTCAAGTTTAGTGACATAATCCCCACGACGCACATTGCTGGCGATGAGTGGGCCCTCATCCTGCAGTGGATTGACTAGACGGCTGAAATTGTGCCTTTTATTCGTGCATACAGCAATATGTTCAGAAGCTAAATGCCAATATTGAGGTCTGCTGGCCAGGATAAGAGAGCACCACGGGAGACAGTTTGCGTAGTTTTGCTATTTCTCCTCGATTGAAGGAGCGCAGATTACAGTGGTTAACTACATGGTCCAAAGTTTGGGTTGCACGGTCACAATGGTCCGTGATAGCCGAAGAGCGATCAAGGGACAGAACCGGAATGAGAATATTTAAACTGGAGTAATCCGATGAGCTATAAAGCTCTTTTTCACACATGTCCAGTAGGGGCACAGGGGTCAGAACGTTACAACAACAAACACGGGACGCCGTGTGGATTGCACGCAGATCGAGTCGGACAAGTCCGTGACCTACGACCTGCGCTACAGCATCACGGGGAGTGGAGCGGACCAGGACCCTGTCGGTCTCTTCATCATCGACAGCAACACGGGGGAGCTCAAAGTGATGCGCTCCATCGACAGGGAGGAGTACCAGATGTTCAGGGTGAGTGCGTGAGTGAGTGTGCGACTGATTGGTCAACTCAGCCCCGATTGAGTACCTGGTGCGGTGTGTACATTTCTCCACTGTTGGAGACAAAGGCGGTTGGGCGTGGTGCTGTCCACCCACCCCCTCGTGTGCCATCCCGGCCTTCAAAGGTGCTCCCTTACAGCCATTGCCCCAACAGTCTGTTAAGGCTATATGGGGGTTCTGTGTATTTGTGTCTGATTGAGTGAGTGAGCTGTAGTGTGGCGGTGAGCGTGCTGCGCTACAAACTCGGCGACCCGAGTTCGATTCCCATACCATGAAGACGGTTATCTGAAGAGGTCTTGAACCTCTCCTATTTCGAATAAGTCTCAATTGAGTACTTGGTGCGGTGTGTAAACATCACCACTCGGGAGGCAAAGATGGCCGGGCGTAGTGCTGGCCACCCACCCCCTCGTGTGCCGTGCTGGCTTTCAAAGGTGCTCGCTAACAGCATTTGCCCCAACAGTCTGTTACAAGCTATGTGGGACATGTTTCCCTTTTGAGTGTGTGAGTACGTGGGTAGGTGCATGGAATTTAGCTGCAAATCTGGAAACTCTCCCTGCTGCTCGTTCCTTCTGAGTCACTCATTCAAAATTCCGCTTGTGTCTCGTAAAGTGCGGCAAGCAGCGGAAAGTTCAGTGCCGGTTTCCTCATTACCCCCCCCCCCCCCGCACACATCAACCCCTGCTCCTCCACCACAGTAGGTCGATCGGCAGGTGGTGGGGTTTAAGTGTGGGTACTCCTACCTCTTCCGAGACGTCTGACCAGTCTGGAAGAGTAGGCCAAAACACCCTCCAGTGAACTCTCGAGAGCTTCCTCCAGTCCCATCCGCCAGCAGTAGTGAGAGTGAGCGATTTGCAGGGCTACGCCTTTACTTTATTGCTGATTTACGTCACTGCTGGTCAACTCTCGGTCACCGGCTGTAAATTGTGGGAGTGGTGGCCCAGATAAAAACAAATTTACGGATAACACGAAGCATCCGTAATAGCAAGTATTGCTCACCAACACAGAAAGCGAGTGATGGCCAGGATGTGCTCTATGCTGGTATTGTTTGTTAAATTAATTCGCTTACTTTCTGACATTTGCCGCGATGTGGGAACTGAGTAAAAAATCTGGAGCTCAACGAATGATTAATTTTTGACAAGCATGGTTAATCCGCAACCTGCATTTAATACCCATGGATATGACTGTACCATCATCATTATCATGACCTGTACCATCATGATCATTGTGAAACAGGCTTTAGGGAGCTCTCAACTGGTGCCACCTCACAATGAGCTTTCAGTTGGTTTTTAAATCATTCTTATTCATGTCGTATGGCTGATGTAGTTGCAGAGCAACAACTACAATTTCACATTCAGGGGTTCAAGCCAGACAACCACGTCAGCAGCAGTGGAGTGTCATCGCTGTGATTTCTCCTTCATATTTGTGGACCGGGCATTGCGTCGTTATACGTTTCACGGTCTATTCTGGATGTGGCACATTAGGAATGGACCACTCTTTTAATAAGTCCGTCTGTGCTGCGCAGTACATCAACGCACGTGTGTACACCAGCATGTGATGACTGAGTTGTGCTGGTAGGTGGCTAGCAGGGTTATTGACTAACCGGACTTGTACACCAGTCACATGGTTAATGGCGACTCGGCTGAAGATTGCTGTGTGTCTGTGTGTGACGCACGTGCTGTTGCATCTTACAGATTGACCACAAATGTGTTTGCCCTTGGTTTGGAGCACCTGCCGCCCACGTCATTCATTTTGAGTGTGCAACATGGATGGCCACAGTTGTACACTCCTGGAGAGTTTTTAATTTTCCATTTGTGCATCTGGTATCCGCATCTGCCATGGTTTGTTAAATCATTGATAACTATCATCGCCAGCAGAATCTTCTATGACCACATCACCCTACATGCATTCGATATGAAATCACCAAGGCCCGGCAACATTTTGAATCTGGCTAGTACTTGGATGACTTGCATTGCAGTCTGTCCAGGAGATAGCTGCATGGCAATGAAATAATGAATACAAATTGTGCGGAGATTTTAGTCTTAAGCTATCACGTTGAGTGGGTTGTCTCTGGGTAAGGCAGTTTTCTCCCATGCACATGCCACATTGGTGACACATCTCAATGCAACACCCTCCTGAATAACAGCTTGTTGAGACTCAGTGGGGCTTTCCTTAGCAAAGCGCATTGATATTCTACCAACGATGCCAAAGTACGCATTTCAGAAAGTTTAATATTTTATTGATTTAAGCCTTACAATGATGGAAATAGGCGATATTTGGAGAGTCCATAGCCATCTTTTCTCTACAATCTTCATCTTTGTTGAAGAGCATATGCTGACAGGTGGGTATGACCAACATGTATTGACAATCATTTAAAACTGTTGTCGTTCCACCCCCTCACCAATGCGATCCCAGTCGTGCTACCGCCATTTAGGCGCAGCAATCAGAGCTGCGCGTCACGTTGAAGGAAACGACCCTTTCAAGGGGGCTAAGTCTTCACGTGCACGGCCCCCATTGCAAATGTGTGCGTTTCTCTGGCAGCTTAAAGGCCACGCCATATCCACCAGTGGCCTGCAAGTGGAGGAACCATGCGACCTGAAGATCACCATCATTGACCAGAACGACAACCCGCCCGTCTTCAACACCTCCTTCCAGGGCGCCGTCAAGGAGGGATCTCTTCCCGGTAAGCCAGGCCGACCCCTGCAGCAACCCCATAGCACCGCACGCTGTCAGCTTTTACTCCGATCTCCCAGTGAGATGGCAATCTCAGCATCAGAACTTCAGGATTTCAACGGTGCTAGCTCAGTGCTCTGACCTCTCTCTCGAGCCGCCCGGCCACCTTCCCCCCCCCCCCCCCCCACCTTCACTCGTTTGAATTTTCATTCCTCGCACATCCCCTGACTTGCAGGCACCGTGGTGATGCAGTTGATTGCCACGGACCGGGATGACCCGAAAACGGCAAACGCACGGCTCTTCTACAAGATTCTGAGCCAGACTCCGTCAGGGAAAATGTTCGCTGTCAACGAGAAGACGGGCATCGTCACCACATTATCCAGCGGCCTCGATCGTGAGGTGAGACTGCCTCCTCTTTCATTTGTTAACAACTGACTTTAGCCGCCGCCCCCCCAACCCAACTGATATTCTGTGTTGAGCGAGGGGGCGAGACGCTTAGAGGGTCTCGTTACCATCATCATCGTCGTCACGATTCGTTGGCAGATAGCCCGGAGTTGTCCACTGCACTTTTCGTCATTATAAATGTATTTCGGTCTCTATTTGAGACCGAAAACAGGAGGATTTCTCCACAACTCTGGCTGTCGCCTGATGAGGCTGGTTGTAATTACCGGTGAAACGTCGTACTCGAGTGGTAAATGTTGTGGGTTTACTCTCCAACACACCGGTGTGCTGAACTTGTAACTAATTGGAATGCTTTATTTACGTGACAAACCTTACTAACTGACTTTTGGGTGGTCGCGGTTTTAACGACACATTTATATTTATGCGATCTGACCCAAAAAAAAAACTCTCTTTTATGGATAATAAATACATGTTTGGTTCATGGTCAGCAAACCGGGCATGTACTGTGTTTTAAACGATGCCAAGAATAAAATGTTGCTTCTGTTCAGCGGAGGGAAGGTGGGGTGACGGTGCAATGGTGTGGTGGGACTACGGGGAGACGGGGGGAGTGGGCTGAGTCCACGGCACCACACGGCTGTTGAAATATTTGGACGAGAAATCAGGCGCTTCGGGGGCCGTGTCGAGCTCAGCTCTGATTTGTAACGGCCGTGGAAATGTCTTCGTACCCCTAGTTATGGGTACAGAAAAAAATACTAAGCTAGGAAGGATTTAAAAATCGAATCACATCGTAAGAACATTGTGTATTACGGCGCAAGGCTATCACGGAAGCGCTGCGTTGCACAAAGCCGGCAGTAGTTTCACATTATGGGGCGACGTTTGAGTTAATTGAGTTAATTGCTGGTAATTTTAAAAAATTCAGCTAATTTTGGACCACGACGCTGGCCCACAATGGCCCACCCTCGCAGAGGGTCCCTGTAACGTCCACTGCGAAGCAGCATGGCGCGCGTTAACGCCTGATTGCTCGCGCAGTATTAACCAGGGCGGACGGAGGGTTCGAAGCGGCCCCCCCGGGTAACACGAGCCGGCGTGTGTGCACCACCCGCATCCTCGCGTAGACCACGTCGAGCTACTCGCTGTCCGTGATGGCGACGGACAGCATCGGCGCCGGCCACGGCCTGAGCAGCATGGCCTCCTACACCGTCCGCCTCATCGACATCAACGACAACGCCCCGGTCTTCAGCAGCAAGAGCGTGAGTGCTCGCACGTGCGCTCGCGGCAGCAGCAGCAGAAGAAGCCGGGCTCCATCTGCCTTGCGACACCGATGAGGGTGGGGCGGGTGTGGAGCGGGTGGTTTGGAGCGGGTGGGGGGGTTGGAACGGGTTGGGGGGGCGCCGATGCTGTTTGTCTCGACGCGGTGAGACGTGGCTGCGATCCAGTGGTGTGGGATGCGGCCATACCGAGGTCGACTCGGCCTGAAGTCGATGGACTGTGCAGACAGCAATGGGGACGTGAAGGCGAAGGTGGCCGGTGGTGGTGGTTGACCATATCACCGCCCCCTCCCCCCGCCCCCTAAAGTGGCATGCCACCCTTCGGAGTTGCTCGTTGATGGCACTTGCCCCCACAGCCTGTGTGAGCTACACGGGTGGTGGGGGGATCTTTGCCTTGGACTTTTTGTGATGCCGTTATATTTGGACACGATACAAGCAAAAATTGTACAGTGTGGACCAATCAACTTCAAGTACAGTGCACATTATCAGAGTTGTGTTTATTGTTTGCATTATGACTGCAGGTATTGTGGTCTATGCAAACATGACTCCTTGTAATAAAGTGTCAGTTTTGTTGCCAGATAGAAGGGTAAAAAACAATTATCAGTTATTATATTGTATTATTATCTGTTTATATTTTTGAGCATTGCCCGTTCTTATCGTAAACGACGCCCAGGGTGGATGAAGGGATGTAACCAACCGCCCAAAAATGTAAATTGTCCTCCGGCAATAACCTCGTCGTTTGTTGTCGTTCATTCTTCATCACGGGAACCACTGCGTGAAAGATGCCACCACATTTATAGTTTAGGTGAGTTTGATTTGCATCTTTTTGTGAATTGATTTGTTTACCTTTCCTACACTCTGTACTCCTATCGTGTTTTGTATTGTTTGTTGTTGTATAAAGTTTTGACCTGTCCTGACCAGACATCTTCGTAGCTCATCGGATTCCTCCAGGATGAATAAATATTTTGATTCTGATTCTGACTGAATCGGGCACGCCCCCCCCCCCCCTCCACAGTTTTGTATTCTGGGCATTTGCCCAGATCACCTGGCTGCTAAGGCCAGTCCTGCTCTGCCTGCACGTTGATTTATCCACTCTCCGTTTAAATCTCTTGTCTCGCCCTGTCCCCCCCCCCCCGCTCCATCCACGTCTATCGACGCCTGCAGTTCTCAGGCACAGTGGTGGAAAACATGGTGGGTGCCACGGTGGCCACGATCGCCTGCAGCGACCGCGACGAAGAGTTCTCCGCGAACTGGCGCGCCGTCTACACCATCGTGAGCGGCAACAGCGGCGGCTGGTTCGCCGTGCGCACCGACCCCAAGACCAACCAGGGCATCATCACCACCGTCAAGGTCTCACCTCGCACCGCACCACCCTCCAGCACCAACCTCCGCCAGCCCCTCACATCAGCGGCTCTTACACAGCTGGCCAGACAAAAACACTTACAGAGTTGCCCGCAGAGCTACAGCCTGGCCTAGAGATATTACCCGCCAATGCCAAAGTTGATACATATTGGTGAGATGCGCGATAATTGAACGAGCGATACAGATGAGAGACAAAGAGGTTTTCAAATGAGATGTAGATGAGAGATACGTTGGTAAGAGATGACAATTATGGATGCGATAGATAGAGAGATGCACAGCAGACAGAGATGAGAGGGAGACGTAGACACGAGATTGCGATTAATGATACGAAAGATGAACGAGACAGAGATGAGACAGCTGAAGACAAAGAGCACAGATTAGTTGTCACACGTACAGATGTCATGACGTCGCAACAACACGAGACGCCGCTAAAACGCATGACGTCGCATGCCCGCAGACGCCTCTTTTATTACGTTGCCTGCCAAAAGTATTTGAAGAACCGTGCCTTTACACACTCGGGCAGTAGCATGCTTCTCAACGTACACCTCAAAGATGCACGTGACCCAGGTTCGCCAGCGGCGCCACCTCTGCCCTCTGACCTGTGACCCACCCGGGCTACCCCATGTTTTGCCCTTCTCCCGATGCTCACGTTCTCACGGCTGTCCCCCTTTGGCAGGCGCTGGACTACGAGTCCATGCAGAAGGCGCAACTGGGCGTCTCCGTGCAGAACGAGGTGCCGCTCCTAACCAGCACAGGCCAGGTCATCTCGGGCTACAAGTACGACTCTAGCACCGTGTCGGTGACCGTGTTGAACCAGGCCGAGGGGCCCGTGTTCATGCCGCCTGAGCGCCAGGTCTCCATCGCCGAGGGCGTCGCCATAGCAACGCTGCTCACCACCTTCACGGCCCAGGACGGAGACAGGGACCCCAACGCTCGGATTCGGTGGGTGCGACCCGCCCGCCCGCCCGCACGCGCGCGAGCACGCCCGGAGCTAACGGCTAGAACCCCGAAGCAGCCATCGAACAAAGACGGTTACCGCATTGCTCGCTTTCAGATGCGCTTCTGTGGCCGTCTGGAATGCTTCTTCCTTCCAACATTAGGAAGCCACTGGAGCTATGCGCATTTAAATCTAGATTCAAAACGAATTTCATTAGAACTGCTTTTTATGTCTAGTGTGTTGCCCTTGCCCCCGCACCTCTGGTTGGCACGGTTGGCTATGTACGGTGCGAAATAAGTCGAACATACATGCATTCTGATTAAATGACTCGCTAATCCATAGCCCATCTCGCGCTGCAGATACCAGAAAATCATGGATCCCGCAAACTGGCTGCGCATCGACCCTGTGACCGGCGCGGTGTACACCACCGCCGTGCTCGACCGCGAGAGCTCGTACGTGCACAACAACACCTACACCGCCACCATCCTGGCCATCAAGGACGGTAAGCCTTCCGCCGGGGTTGTTGTCGACGCACGACACCGAAAAGAGACGGTCGCCGTAGGTGAAGGGGAGCGGTGCCGCGGCGCGTGACGGACAACGGTCAGCAGAGGGGTTGCAACCATTGCCGTCCGCGGAGACGAAAGTCAGGCCCCAGTTATAACCGTGGTCTTTTAAAATAGCCGGCATTCGCGCACCGCCCGATAACCAAATTGGAAAAGGTGAGTTAAAAACCCAGTTTTTTACCGCTTTGCCACACATGTAGACACGTCTACAGCAATGAACGTTACATCTCTTCCCGGGGTAAACTGCGAAAGGAAGAGTTGCTGCCGTGCTGTTGGTGGTCAGCACGCGGGAAACAATGGCGCAAGTTTCTGTAATTCCTCCCCGCCGCCTCGCTCTAAGACAGCGTTGCCGCGTGCAGCGCTTGACGCGCTGATCTCCGCACCTCCAATTGGCACGTTTGGCTGCGTACGGTGCGGGAAGATGTTTGACATACGTACACGCACGCACTGGGCGCGCGCGCGTCACGTACGCCCTCATGGACCGGCGCGTGTTTGCGGCCGGCTTGGCGCTTCTATTGCCAGCAGGTGTCGCGCAAGGCCCATTTTCACAGGCATGAGTTGGAAGTCGCGGCTTTTGGCTCGCCATCAAACAAAGACGGTCACTGCATCGCGCGCTTGCAGATGCGCTTCTGCGCCCATCTGGAACGCTCTTTCTTCTGATATTAGGCAGCTGCTGGAGCTATGTGATTTTAAATCTAGATTGAAAATTTTTTTTTTAATCTGCTTTTTGTGTTTAGTTTGTTATCCTTCCATCACACCTCCACGGGGCACGGTTGGCTATGTACGGTGGAAAACAAGTTCAGCGTACATACATACATACACATACATACATACGTATACATACGTACGTATGTATATATACATACGTATGTATGTATACATACATACGTATGTATACATACGTATGTATACATACATACGTATGTATACATACATACGTATGTATGTATACATACGTATGTATGTATACATACGTATGTATACATACATACGTATGTACGTTGAACTTCTTTCGCAGCATGACGTACACGTAGCTAACCGCCTGCCCCGTTCGTCCGCAGGCTCTCCGTCGATGACGTCGACGGGAACGCTCGTGCTGACGGTGCAGGACATCAACGACCACGCGCCCGTGCTGCTCAATGGCAACGTGACATCGTGCACGAGCGACGACCCGACGCGGGCCAACATCACAGCCATCGACCGGGACAACTACCCCAACGCCGGGCCCATGCGCTTCGAAGTGGTCGGGAACGAGGCACAGGCTTTGTGGGCCATACAGCCCATTGACGGTGAGGGCGGCATTGCCATCGTCGTTACCACTGACACTTCAGATCAAGTCGTGATTTCACAAAGGCACCGCTGTATTTCAGAGACGTAGTTTGTTGTCCTTCCACCGCACCTTCAGTTGGCACGGTTGGCTACGTATGGTGAGACAGAAGTTCAGCATACATACAGGCAGTTCCTGATTGTCACGATAGATGCGTTCTTGAAAATCTTCGTGGAAGGTAAAATTACATTAATAAATTTCACCATTCTATGCAGCTCTTTTTCAGAAGCGACCTTACCACATATGATAGCTCAACGAAGTGGCTCATCATCTGGAAATGTATAGCATGATTCTATATATCGAGACAAAAATCAGAGGACCCGGATAAAATCCACGTGATCACGGAGAGAACATGCAACCTCCAAATATACAGGCATCAGGGTCGGCATCGAACCCACGACCTCCCATGATATTCAGGCCAGTAACAGGGCACAGCGGTAGAGCGAGGGGCTCTTAATTGGAAGTTTGCGAGTTCAAATCCTGGAATGGAGGGGTTGACTCAGCTCATCCCTCCGGGGTTGAGAGACCTGTCCCCGCCATAGGAAATTGTTTATTTCCACCACTGGCTCAGGGCTGTGTTGGCGCATGCCTTCAAAGCAGAAAGCACAATGGAGAAGTTGTTAAAGCAAAGATGTGGACTACACCTGTTCTATGTGTGTGGGATGCAATGTTTACCCCCCCCCCCCCCCCCGTTAGACGTGTGGGTTTTCACCAGGTGCTCCGTTTTCCTCCCACGTGTGAACACTCATTCATGTACCCGATAACACCTTAATATATAAAGGACCGTGCAGCTGTGACAATTGTTGATTCCGGCTCACCGCGTGGCTGCCTTGCCACTAGTCTGTGGTTGCTCACGCCTCTGAGTCGTTCTTTGCCGACGAAAGAGCGAATACTGTGTGGTACCGAGTTGCAAGTAGAAATGACTCAGAGTAATTACGTGCACCACTTTCATGCTCATATGAGCAGGAATTCACTCTTGACCTTTTGAACACAATCTTCTGCCTCCCGTCCCCCGTGTGCGTGCGTGACCCATCACACACACGTGGGGAGCGGTAGTGTAGCGCTTGGCGCGCTGCACTCCCACTCATGGTCAACGCCTGTCACGATTGTCTGAACAGGTCCTGGGCCTCCTCTATGTCGACTCAGCCTCAAATGAGTACCTAGGGCAAGTGCTGCCCACCCACCCCCTCGTGTGCCGTGCCAGCCTCCATAGGCGCTCGCTAACAGCACTTGCCCCAACAGTCTGTTAAGGTTACACGGGGGTTCTTTGTCTTTTTGCGCCGTCACAGACCGCTCGGCGTACATCGTGTACCGCAACGGGAAGGCGCCTGGCACCATCCACGAGGTTCCTGTGCGCATCCAAGACCGGCAGGGCAAGGCCAGCGAGCACATGGTGCGCGTGGGCATTTGCGAGTGCTTCGACAACTCGGACGTGTGCCAGGCGTGGCCCTTCCTGCCTCCTGCTGCCCTGGTGGGCGGAGCCGGGCTGAGCCCAGGGGCAATCGCTGCCCTCGTCCTCTCACTCCTCCTGCTGCCTCTACTCGGTACGGACGGGTCGGATGGCTGAGCGCCGTCAGGCTTTGATTTTTGTTTAGTTTTTTTTAACACGCTCCTAACTAAGGCTGGAAGTGTCGTTTTATACGTTCGCTCCGTCCGTCTGATGATGACCTCTCGCCTTCGGGACTTGTCAGCCCTTAACTTCTCACTGCCGGTGTAAAACGCCGGTAAAATATGTGGGAAAACTAGCGATTGCTAACGGCTCTGAACAGATCTCAGCGAAAAGAGACAGGAGTAGAGGGAGACCGAGGGTGAGATGGAAGGATGTAGTGGACATGATACGAGGCCAGTGGATGTGACGAGAGAAGAGGCGCAGAATGGAAGCTCATGGAGGGAGAATATCCTCGCGGCTGGCCCGTGCACCCAAGGGAAACACAACATGATCACAATCGTCGTTGCGGATAACATAAGCAGAACAAAATCAGCAGACAATATTGCCTCCCATCGAGATACCATGGCCGATAATTATAACCGGTTTCCGTTGAGCGACGGTCAATCGCCTCTTTGAACCCTGACCTCCGTCCGACCTCCCCTCTCTCCACCGTCACATCCCTCGATGCCCACCAGCGCTGCTGCTCATGCTGCTCTTCTCCAAGTGCTGCCCCATGGGTGTGGCCGGCGCCGGTGGAGCCGGGAAAGGGAAGCTCTTCCTGGTTCCCGCGGACGACGGTATCAAGGGTTCCCTCATGTCGTACCACGACGAGGGGGCCGGAGAAGTGGACAAGGTGCGCGCGTGCGTGTGTTTTGTTATAGGGCGCCGCGGTGGCTAGATGTCAACTCCCTCGCCTGGTATGCAGGAGGTCGTGGGTTTAATCCCAACCCTAACGCCTGCTGTATATTTGGAGTTTGCGTGCACTCCCCGTGGTCGTGTGCATGTTTCTTCAGGTCCTCCGGTTTTCCCATCCACATTTATAAAAATGTCCGCGCGATAAACCACTTCTTTGAGATATAATTGATGGTAGCCAGGTCGCTTCTGAAATAGAGCTATATTGCTCAGTGGGCCTTACCTAGTAAAATAAAAATAGTTTCATTTGGTAGTTTAGTTTTTAAATTGTGGTTGCAGATGCAGCCGGGTGTCGCCTTGCTCCTCTCGGAGTTTGTCAGTCGGCCTGTGGTGTCGTTTACCGTTACCGCTGGAGGAGAAAGAGAGGGAAAGATCGGGCCAGGCTCGAAGGCCCAACACGCCAAGTGATCGGCAGCAAACTACACTGTGGAAGGTGTCATACATAGGAGCATCGTACTACAATTGTACATGTTGTGGGGTTACTCTCCAGCACATCGGTGTGCTGAAGTATAAACTAATTCTAAATTTGAAGCTTTCGTGACTGCAAGGATTCATATTCTTAGGTTTTTTCGGTAAAGTCACGTAGGTAAAAAATTAAAATTAATAAAAGTAAAATAAAAATAAAATAAAAATAAAAATCACGACGTTTCGGAGGCAACACAAGCTTCCGTCTTCAGGTGGAACCGTCACAGCACGATAGATCACTAGATACAGCTATCGTGCTGTGACGGTTCCACCTGAAGACGAAAGCTTGTGTTGCCTCCGAAACGTCGTCATTTTTATTTTATTTTTATTTTACTTTTATTAATTTTCATTTTTTACCTATGTGACTTTACCGAAAAACCTAAGAATATAAACTAATTGGCACATTTTGTTTACTTGACAAACCTTACTGATTGGCTGTATAGGGTGGTGGTGGGTTAACGACACATTTGTATTTTCGCAATCTAACCCAAAATAAGCTTTATAATGAGTAATAGATAGGAGTTGATACATTTGTTTAATTGAGCAAGGTTACGAGACCTTGTGCAAAGAGACGATGATTTGAGCAGCGCGAGGGAAGGATCAAAAAGAGAAAAGTTGTGACCTGCAGTGTGTGCGGTTGAACGCAGCGCGGATGAGACAAAAAATAGTCTTCAACATGGGTGTAGGAACAACTAACTTACGTTTCCGTAAAAACCATGAATGATGACAGTAGTGATGGGAAAAGTGTAAAGGGGCGACTGACCACTTGTGAGCGAGTGACTGGGAGTGAATCAATGAGTCGCATTTACTTTCCACATTTCACAACCATATGAGATATTGCTTATGCAAACACTACCACGCCCAAAAAGGGGGGGGGGGGGGGAGTATGATTTTACAATGTAGCACATATGAAGTGTTTGACCAGGTGCAAAAATCTCACCAAGTCTCCAGAAACTTTATTAATCGGTTGACTAAAATGTCCCGTACTATTTTTTGCATTTTATTCATTCATTCGTGGATCTTTTTTTCCCCTCCCCAGAATATGGCCCTGTCGTCCCTGCATGGGGCCCACGCGCACAAAAACGGGGGCTCCGTCGCGTCCGACGCCACGTTCTCCAGGCTCAACCAAATGGTCGATGGCTCTGCGGTCGGGGGCATGGCGGCCGGCGCTGCTGCGGCGGCGGCGGCTGGCGGGGCGGCAATGGGCGCCGGAATGGCGGGGGCCAGCGGGTCGTCGGAGATGCGGAACGAAGTCACCAAGACGGTCACCACGACTCAGTCCTCGTCGGGGGCCCACAATGCATCGGGGCACGCGGCCGGAGCGGTCGGAGCGGCCGGGGCGGCCGGGGCGGTCGAGGCGACAGGGGCGGCTTTGATGGCAGGAGCGGCGGGGATGGGGCAGGGCAGGTCAGCGGGAGGAGACGTACATTCCGGCTACGCCACCACGCGGTCGCACGGTTACTCCACCGGCGGGCGTTATGGCGCCGGCGCCGCTGGGTTCGACGGCACGGAGGTTTACGGCGCTGACTATGGGTGAGAAATGAATTTCGCCTTGAGGCTTTTCTTTTTGAGTTTTTGAACAGTGGGTCAAGGTTAAAGTGCAGCGCTGTCATCTCTTGCTTACGTCATTGCTCTAGAGGTTGAATTAATGTATTAATTAATGCATTATTTATATTTGACTGCAAGTAAGAAACATTGATTACACCTTCCATGCCCTTAACATCTGCATAGAAAAAAATAATCGTTATCAATAGCTGTGTTAAGGTAAAATCGTGTGATAAGTTTTTTGGGCAATAGTGCATATTCTCTGCTCTGCATACGGACCATTGCGTAAATCAGTCTTGTGTCCGAATGCAATGCCAACGATGGGAGCGGTGGGATTCTTTTGACCACTGCTCAAACTCGACCGCCCGCGCCGACGCCCCACGCTTTACGCGAGGGTTGACATCGCGTCCGTGCCCGACACAGGCTGTCGGATCACGGAACCTGGGCCCACCCGGGGAGGCTGCGTCGAGTGGAGGCTCCTCCCGTCGTCACCGAGTCGACCTCGTCGTACCACTACCGCTCGCTGCAGAGTCACAGGGAGGGAGTCAAGAACGTGGAACTCTTCCTTGGAGAGGTAGCCCCCCCCACCCCACCATCACCCTCCCCCACCGGGAACAGAGACCTTTGGGCGACGCTTTGCTCCCTAAGCAGGCCTTTCCACGTCCCGCCCACGTTCCTGCCGATACGACGTGAGCGGCCTTCGGCACGACCCAACAATAAAACCCCCCAACGCGGAGTGGTGACAACAGCGCAATCCGTACAGTGGCGTCGCTGTCGAGTGCGCAGGCGGTGCAACTGTGTCGGGGAACCACGGGCCGGGGGTGGGGCAGGCGGCGGCGGGCTATGAAGAATGGGGACATTTTTATTTTTGGTTTTTTTTCCGGTAAAGTCACGTAGGTAAAAATTGTAATTTAATTAATGAAAACAACTAAATTAAATCACGACGTTTCGGAGGCAACACAAGCTTCCATCTTCAGGTGGAACCGTTACAGCCAAAATCACTGTAGTATGGAAGTCACCAATTGAAAATCACTGTAGTACAGTGATTTTGCCTGTAACGGTTCCACCTGAAGACGGAAGCTTGTGTTGCCTCCGAAAAGTCGTGATTTAATTTAGTTGTTTTCATTTTTTTTTTACCTACGTGACTTTACCGGGAAAAAAACCCAAAGAATATGAATCCTTGCAGTCACGAAAGCTTGAAATCTAGAATGGGGAAATTGTTTAGGTTGGGCCCCGTTGACATTCGGTGTACCAGGGCCCGTTCCAGCCACGCCGCATCGCTGTTCTATTCTTGCGTGTGGCAGCAGTGTGTTGAGGAGCTAATCGTCAATATCGAGGTCTGCCAAGCACAACGAGAGGACTTCAGGAGAGATTTTGTGTTGTTCATTTTATACCAGCGAAGGAGAAGCGTGCATTGGCCTGTTGATCTTCCGATTCGTTTGATGGCTGCGACAGCGTCTTCGAGGAATGGCAAAGCTATGCCACTGCAGCCATGGGACTATCGTCTTCATTAGGAGCAGCGGGCAAACGCATCATTGCAATACTAAAAGTAATAGTTAACAAATCTTTGTCAATCCACTGCTGGATGTAGGCATCCCCACACTGTATCAGTTTATAGGGGTTTCGATTTAAAGCTTTTGTGACTGCAGGGATTCATCTTCTTGGTTCTTTTGGTAAAGTCACGTAGAATGGAAATAATAAAATAATAAAAATAAAACATTATAAAAATGTTCTCACACCGTTTCGGCCACAACGCAAGCAGCCGTCCTCAGGCTGCTTGCGTTGTGGCCGAAACGTCGTGAGAATTACGGCTGCTTGCGTTGTGGCCGAAACGTCGTGAGAATTATTTAATTATGTTTTATTTTTATTATTTTATTATTTCCCTTCTACGTGACTTTACCGAAAGAACCAAGAAGATTTATAGGGTTGTCTAAGCTTACTTCGCCACGCCGGTCAGTGCGGGTAGGTGAAGGGGAGGCAACCCAAGACTGATTCCAGATGTAATCTGCCACCGATGTTGGCCATGGTCGAGAATGGATCTCAAGATCACTCCGGGTTCGTAGCGCAGTTTGCGAACTGCTGCGCAAGCACTCCGCTGCCGAATAGCAACGATTTCCATTGTTTGCATCGATTTTATTTACAAATAACATTGTTTTGATTTGAAGCTTTCGTGACTGCAGGAGTCCATACTCTTTGGTTCTTTCGGTAAAGTCACGTAGGTAGAAAAAAAAATCAAAATAAATCACGACGTTTCGATAGCAACACAAGCAATCGTCATCAGGTGAGACAACCACAGCAAGTGCGATCGAAACATCGTGATTTTTTTTTCTACCTACGTGACTTTACCGAAAGAACCAAAGAGTATGGATTGTTTTACTCAAAAGTTGTGTTCCTGTTGTGCTGCATCTATCGGAAACTAACACCTCCATCATTCCTCGTCTCTTCTCAACAAATCACGCTTACATTTCCATCTCCTTGACACTTTCATTTATGCACAAGTCGGCACTTTTTGTTTCTTGTTGTGCAGATTATCGGAGTGTCGTGTTGTTCCCATATCGATGGGAATCACTGTGCACGCACAGAGATGGGCACAATGAGTGAATAAGTGAAAGTTCCTACGAGTGCCAGATTGTTTTTTGTTGTTGCGGATGTTGGTGACTCGGGCAGAGACCGCCAAATTGACCGAAATCAATTTATAGTGGGGGATGCATTTGAGACCGGTTATAAACTGCCCCCCCCCCCCACCCCTCCAGCATAGCAGGCAAGAGCATTTCCTGTGTAGGATAGAGAACGTATTTGACAATGTTCCCACAGAACCCTATCACAGGGGGGCCGAGATGGGGGTTGGAACCAGTCACCAATGGACATGGAGGCGAATGTCCTGACCCCCTAGACTGCCCAGCCGCCCCCATGTGAGTTAGCAGTGTGGTGGCCGTGCCCAGTGATAAGTGTAAAAGCCAGGCAACACGCGAAGGCAAATTGGTCCGATTAGCACGGTTGGCTACGTACGGTGCGAAAAGAAGTTCAATGTACGTACGTGCAAGTGACCCGCATTTCCCTATTGATCCGGTCTCACCCTTACAGAGCGGTACTCTGTGGGCCCAGGGTACATTTATCACTGGTGCTTCTGGTTTTCCTTCACTGTTTCGAGAAGCGGCTGGGCTTTTCTCTTTCGCTCGTGATGTTTCTAATAAGTGTTACCCACACCACGAAGCTTTGCTGGGTCAATACCATTGGCACTTTAAAAATTACGCGCAATTATATTTGCCTAAGAAAAACGTATACACAACTGGTCGTCAAATTCATTTGACAAATGTCGATTTACATAAACTGTGTGAAAATGTTGAATTATTGCACTGTATTCATTTTTCGCGAGAGTAATTTTTGTTAAAATGTGATTCTCAAATGTCCGTCAAAAAGACAACTTAAATCTTTTACACGACTCTAAATAACTTAACAATTAACCTTCACTTAACAAATGCGTAATAGCGTCGCTGCCAGTACTGATGGGCACGTGCTTCTTGCGTGCTCTTTCCGTTGCCTCTCTAGGCCAAGAGCCTGGCCGACAGGGACCCCTCAGCGCCCCCATACGAGACACTTCTGATTTACGACTACGAGGGCAACGCCACCCCCACCGACTCACTGTCCGTCTGCTCGGTCATCGTGGACGAGGAAGCCAGGACGTCGCGGTTGATCTCCTAAGGGCTCGCAAGCCCGTCTCAATGGCTTCATCGTCATCAACGGTTTTTTTGGTTATTTTGGTTTAGGTCCCCGATGACGCTGGCGCAGCATACGAAACGCCGGATGGACGACGCGTGCCGTTGTTCTTTTTCAGTGTTTTTTGGAATTCGTTTAATTGATAGCACTTGCGAAAAGTGCTTTTCGCTAGTTTTGTAACAGATTTTTTTTTTTTGGCCAGTACTGTTTACTGACAATTTAATCACAAGATTCATTGAATGGATTGTAATTCAGACCGAAAAAAATATCGGTACATTTAAACTGGGAAAGTATGAAAAAACCCTTGTCTGTACATCTTAAGCATTTTGCGCAACGATTGTACATTACCACATCCAGCCGGTCAGTTTAAGAAAATTCAGAACACATTTATGCAAACAATCACCTGCTTTAATCAAAAAAATATCAATAAAGTATTATTAAGGCTGTTACCTCTGAAACTAAGTTTCGGACTGCCTTTATCATTTAAACAAAAATTAGCAGGAAAATGGGAATGTTTCTCCGTGGATTTTGACATTAAGCTTGTAAATCCACATTGCAGTTAATTGTTTTTTTATTAATGTTAATTTTTTTTGTCAATGAAATCTCATTTTTGGGCCAAGACGTTTTATATAGAAAAAAAATCAACAAAGATTTTATAGACAACAGTTCTCAAGTCTGGTTTAAAATCGATCACACCATTTCAAAAATGAAGGTTTCTTTTTTTGTAACTGGATGACTATTTATTTGCAATCGGCGACATTCTTACGGGGAATCTTACGGTTATCTACATTGCAACGGAATAACATCCCTCTTCATATTCACTTAATTTGCAGTGTTCTTCACGTTAATTGGCACCATTGCAATGCTTTATCTTTCAAAAATACGTTGGTGTAAAAGAAATGTAAAAATGTTATCGATTTCCCCCTCCCACCCCTTCCTCTCCCCACACCCCTTGCCAACAAAGCTACTAACTCGGTGCACATATGAGGCTAGAAGAACAAGTTGCTTCACTGCTTTCTTGTAAAAATATTGTAACTCAAGAGGATGCCATGTACACTTCTGCAGCAGGTTAGCGAAGACTTGGTCACATTGTGCTCTTGCAGAATGATAAACCCATGCACGCGCATTTGTCATCAGTGCTCCAAATAAGCAGCCGTAACTGGGAATTCCGCTCATTAAACACACGTGGATTATTTATTTTTACGTGGCATTATCAACGTGACGCGTGGCAATGGCATTTATCGAAAAAATATCGCTCCGAGCAGGACGATCAAATGCTCGAAAGGAGGGCCCGCGTGATGCGTTGAGCACGATGCGTCTGACGGTGCCAGGGTGCCAGAACCCTGTAGGCCCACTGGCAGGGCTGAGGCCTGTCGGCTTGAATTGGCAGTCGCGTGACCCTAGCGGCCCATGAGGAGGCGTCCGTCTGTAGTTTGTGTTTCTTTAGGAGTAAACAAAAACAATGAATGAACAAGAAACTAATTTTTTTTAAACATTCTCATTGAGAAACTTTGAGGTTGTGCCAACTTTTTGTATCGTACAAAGAACCATTTCTGTTAAAATGTAAGGCTCTACCATACGTTGGCATTAAGAGATTTGCAGTATTCATCTAAAGTCCTCACGACGTCAAGGTAATGTTGCATGACCCTTATCTGGAGCGCTGGTTGTCACCCACAACCCACTTTACAAAACACTCACACATTCCCTGTCAAACTGATGGTGTAACTTCGTTAAACGGTCATACCTAAAAAAAAAAACAAGGTGTCGTGGCATACGTGATTAATCATTTTAATTGAAGGAGCAACATGAAACGAGGATGTAAGATACAAAACGTAGTTTTCCATATCACTTACAAATTTACCAAAACACAACTGTTGCGAATGCGTTGTTTTTAAAGTTATGCTTCCACAGTACTGTAGGTTGTAGCTGCAACTGCTCTGCTACTCAGCATTATGGTACTTTACCCGTACCTCTGTCCTATAGGATGTGTGCGCAGTGACCACGGACCATGAACCTGGCTTCAAATGCCACAATTATTTTACAGTATTTCAATATTAGTCACCCCGTCACGGCATTTGGTATCGAGTTCATTTCAGCGAGCATTGAGCTAACAACCGTGCCATTGAGGCCCTATGCACGCAGATTCATGTTCGTGCCAGGAATGTTCAGATATTCTTTTATTCGCTCAAAATGCGCTTCACTGCTTTCGATTAGGGCAGCACAGAACGTGGTGAAAGACGCGTCCAAGGATTAAACCTCTTTTTGTTGTTGCAAGTTAAGTCTTGAATATTGAACTTGCACATCATGATTATAGCCATGGAACTGCACTGATTTGCCATTCACGGTTTATCGATGACTGCGTGCAAAATGGAGAAACGGCTTCACAAAGGGCATTCTCTACAATCAGAGTGCGGCCTAAGCAACGAAGTCCGCTGCTGAGGGGTGAACAAAGCTTTGCTTTGCTTATGTTTGTTATACATGAAAAAAGGATGTGTCACTTCCGCTAACACTGCTGCATTTTGTGTTATGTTTTGTTTGTGCGTGTGTGTTTTATTCATGTTTTATCTGGTGTTTTTACACGCTTTCGCTGCCTTCTGTACTCGTTTTTATTTTAAAGAAGTCATTATTACGTGGATCTGCTACGATTCACACTCTTTGGGGGGCGGCGGGGGTTAATGCTTGTGCCTACTTATCCAAAGATAAGTGTAATTCATGAATGTATGTACGTTGAACTTCGTTCGCACCATACGTAGCCAACCGTGCTAATATTTGTATAACATTGTCAACTTGCAATGCGCCGCACAGCATTCGCTCACTCTGGGGGAGAGAATGACTCGGAGGCACGGAGAATCACACGCAAGCGGGAAGGCAGCCACGTGGTGGGGCCGGCGTCAACAATTTCTGCCACAGTTCTGCGGCCCTCCACACATATTAAGGTTGTCATCGGCCAAATGACTGAGTGTGGTTTACATGTGGGAGGAAACTGGAGCATCTGCTGCTGCCTTTGCTCCTCGCGAGCCACGCTTACGGGGACACCGCGGCGCTCACGGAAGGCAGCTTCAACAACATTCGTACGATTCCACCAACCTTTCGTTGCTGCCTCCTGCGGTGCCGGATTTTTTTACGGGCGTGATCAATACACAGCGCAGACTGCATGTTTTGTTTTTGTTATGCCTAACACCCCCCCCCTCCCCCCGTCCGCAAGGATGTATTTTTCATGAGTGATGCCGGTGGATGATTAATGCACTGCTCCGTTACCATGTTAAACGTCGAGGACAAAAATTTGCTCCGTAAATAAATCAATAAAACCACGTGCTCATGCAATTTTCACCTTTACGGCCCGGTGCTTAATTTCAGCCACGTCGGTCTGGAACATTGTTCATGGAAGTGTATTGGCACGTCACATCCATCTCGCCTTATTTTGCCCTCATGATACGTCTACACCTGTTCATTGGAATATTTGGTTACAATAACATAGGATCATTAATAACATAAGAATAGTCATACTGTAGGTGTACCGTGTACCCGAGTGGTATTTAATCCTTACTCCAAGCTAGCCTAGCAGCACTCCATAAAATACTGCATGAGCTAGAAAGCCCTGCTAACACCTTTTGACAAATATTAACTTTGTGCAGTAATGTGACTGAAAAAAACAAAGATCCCCTGTATAGCTGGAACAGACTGTAGGGGCAAGTGCTGTTAAGCGAGCACCTAATGAAGGCCGGAATGGCACACGAGGGGGTGGGTGGCCAACACCACGCCCGACCTCCTTTGTCTCCCGAGTGGAGATGTTTTACACACCACACCAGGTACTCATTTGAGGCTGAGTCGACCTAGGTGATGCCCAGGACCGGTTCAAATAATTGTCACTGGTCTTGGTCGTGAGTTGGGGATCGATCTCGGGTCGCCGGGTTCGTAGCGCAAGCACGCTAACCGATGCACCACCACTCCCCATAGTGTGACTGAGAGCACAGGACTATGGTTCATAATATAGGTTTTTGGGTCAGATCGCGTTATTTATAAATGTGTCGTAACGCTCCACCACCCGACACGGCCAATCAGTAAAAAAGTGATTGGCCGTGTCGGGTGGTGGAGGGTTACGACACATTTATAAATAACGCGATCTAACCCAAAAACGTTTATTATGAATAATATTGGTCGCGAAAGCCTACAACGTGTCAAACAGTACTATGGTTACGTGCCTGTGAGATAGAGTGGATTTGGATGGCACTTGTGAACTCCCATAGCAACATGGGTTTTACTGACAAGACCAGGAAAACCAAGACCTGCTTACAATATTAATATTCACGCTATTGCATTACACTTATTGTCCTAGGTTTATCTACTAGGCCTTATTTACTAGGTCTATGTGAGTAGGCGTTGCAGAACGTGCACACTCGGTGAAGTTTTCATTCCTTCTTCATGGTGGGCAGCAGAGGACAGCGTGGCAAAAAATCCACCTCTGTGCTGCACTTATTCTATGACGCACTGGTGGACAATCCTAGAGGAGTCGGTAAGCCACGTGAGCAGCCCTCCTTGGCCTCAGTGGGCCGCAAGCTTGACTGTGCTTGTGCAACAATCGTGACCCCCACGCATCACCCTCTTGCAAGGAATCATGTCTGCATTAACCACAGATACTTGTGGTGAACATGCAAAGAAAACACACTCTGGTAGTAGATGATGCATTGTCTTTGAAACCGATTGGTCCTCACCAGAGATAGTTTTTTTAGATCTGGTCTCAAACAGTTTTAGGCCAGAGGACACCAAAAGGCAAACAGCACAAAGACAATGCCACTATCAGGGCATTGAGAGCTCTGGGCGAGCAGCTACATCATGGGACCTCCCTTGCCAGTATATCAAAATATAAGAATAGGTTTCACCCGTTCTGGCAATAAAAATAGTTGTGTTAAGATGTTAAAACACCAAACATAAACCTTTTGCAAGGAATCGTGTCTGCATTAACCAAATATACTTGTGGCGAACATGCAAACTAAAACAAACATGCTCTGTCAGTATATGTGTAGGACTCGTACTGAGTCGACAGCTTCGTCTTTCTCGTCTCTTTTATTCACGCATATAGTTCACACCTCCTCCTCGTCATCACTCCATGCCTCTCCGTTCGCTCGCTCCGCTCCGCGACTTCGCTCGCTTCTCTCTCTCTCCCCCAAGGTCCGTTACTCCGCTGCTACCCTACTCTGTACTCGCTCCGTCCACTGCTACCCCATCTGTATTCTCTATCCACTGCTGCCGTACGCTGTACTCTCTCTATCCACTGCTGCCCTATCTGTATTCTCTCTGTCTACCCTTATCACATCTATTCCTGCTCCCTGCTGCTCCGTCTCTATCTCGGGCACCAACAACTCCGACTCCAACACCAACCAAGACTCCCGTCTCTCCGTTACGCTGTGCCTTTATACCCAAACCAATCAGTCACAATTAATTATCTCATCCCCCGCTTCACTACTCGCCCCCAGGCCCCCAGCCTCACGTGATGTCACGTGATGTTGTTTTCGTAGACACTTACTCTCTCGACCAATCACCGGCCTGCGTCCTTAGTTGGCCTTAACACCTGTGGCGTATCTTCAAGACCTCCCCCTTAATTGGCACAACAACAACTCTATGTCCTCAGTTACCCCCACTGTACGTTGCTCGCTCCCCCTAGCAACAACGCGTGGCGCGTGACATTTCAAGTCCTACATATGCATTGTCGTTGAGACTGATTGGTCCACACCAGAGACAGCTTTCTTTAGAGCCTAGTCTCAAACAGTATTAGACCGGAGAAAGCCAAAAGGCGACCACAGCACAAAGACAATGCATATCAAGACACTGAGAGCTCGGGGTGAGCAGCTACATCATGGGACCTGTTGTGAAATGTGATCGCGTTGACGACCAACGACCCACGGGGCAAGGGGGAGATCCTCGTCCAGCAGTGGATTGACAAAATAGATTATCGGTGCTTCTTTGTCTTTTTCTAAATTATTATTCAATTGAACTATCAATGTCATATTGTGGAATTGAGGACATTTCCACCTCAAGTTTACAGAAACCAGTTTTAAACAATGCCCTCTGGAAGATAATAACAGAGCTCCCTTGAATTACATGTGTAGTGCTCGAACCGACACGACAGCTTCTTGTCTTTCCTCTTTACTTTATTTCGCGTATTTCGATCAACACTTCTCCATCCAACATCGCTCAACGTTCCTCCCGCTAACACCGATCCACAGTTCTCCTCCACGCTCTCCGCTCGCTTGCCGCGTTCCGCCAGCCTCACTCGCTTCCCATCACTCTTCCGTCGACTCTCCTCTCCACTCTCTCCGCCACAGTTTGGCTGCTCGTTATCAGCTCCGCCGTCCCACTCCGTCGTAACTACATCAGCTTCTCTTCCCACACTCCAGCCGCTTCCTACTGGCTTCGTCGTCTCACTGTTACTCTACGCTTCTCCACTGCTACCCTACACTTCTCCACTGCTACCCTACGGTTCTCCACTGCTACCCTAAGCTTCTCCACTGCTACCCAGAGGTGTGGACTCGAGTCATGTGACTTGGACTCGAGTCAGACTCGAGTCATGAATTTGATGACTTCAGACTCGACTTGGACTTGCATAACAATGACTTTGTCCCACCTCTGAGGTGTGGACTCGAGTCATGTGACTTGGACTCGAGTCAGACTCGAGTCATGAATTTGATGACTTCAGACTCGACTTGGACTTGCATAACAATGACTTTGTCCCACCTCTGCTGCTACCCTACACTTCTCCACTGCTACCCTACACTTCTCCACTGCTACCCTATGCTTCTCCACTGCTACCCTACGCTTCTCCACTGCTACCCTACACTTCTCCACTGCTACCCTACACTTCTCCACTGCTATCCTATGCTTCTCCACTGCTACCCTACACTTCTCCACTGCTACCATATGCTTCTCCAATGCTACCCTACGCTTCTCCACTGCTACCCTACGCTTCTCCACTGCTACCCTACACATCTCCACTGCTACCCTACACTTCTCCACTGCTATCCTATGCTTCTCCACTGCTACCCTATACTGTTATTAGCTCTGCTGCTCCGACTCTTCCATCCTCTGTCTCCTCCCAGGCGCGAACCCCCGTCTCCTCCAAAAACCCCTGTCTTTATCCCCGAGCCAATTAATCCCCAATTAATCAGGGGCATCCCCCGCGACGCCCCTCGCCCCCAGCCCCCACTGCCACTTGGCATGTTTTTCCAGACAATGCGGCGCCACTCCATGACAACAACACCCTCTCGGCCAATCAGCGCCCTGCGTCCTTAATTACTCCCTGCCACCTGCTACCATCTTCAGACAGCGCGGCCCCACATCTCGACAACAACAACAATGACCAGCCAATCAGCGGCCCGTGTCCTTATTTGCTCCCACTGTACGCCGCATGCGCGCACACCGACCTCCGCGCGTGACGCGTACTTTCAGGCACTACACATGCATACCACTCAAAACTATTTAATTATTTTATATTTAACCAGAGCTGTTGCATCCCAATGTTTCTATGGATTGTCATGCCATGAGGCAAAGTGCTAATTCTGATCTATTGTAGAGCAGTGCACCGCTTACATTCAGCGAATGCTCCACAGAAGTGGACATGACAGAGCAACCTCTGAAATTCCTTAAAGTGACCGTTCACACAGCAGAGGGCAACGCTTTCACACCTGTTGTGCAAAACAAATATGTTAATCCAAAGAGCTGGAATTTTGATAAACTAAAGTGCAGAACCAAATTCATTGCGATAGTTTTATGGGGATGGGCAGGCATTGATGACCCGGCTAAGACCATGGACACGACGGTAGCGAGATGTTAATTACCTCGCCTGTTATGCAGAAGGTCGTGGGTTCGATAAAAACCCTTGACACCTGTATATTTGGAGTTTGTATGTTTTCCCCGGTGTTTCCCTGCCTATTTAGAATGAACATGCATTCAGAGTATGTGACTGCTATAAATTCCCACATGATAAGCCACCTCGTTGAGCTATCATTTGTGGCCAGGTCGCTTCTGAAAAAGAGCTATATGGCTCAGTGGGCTTTATATGGTAAAAAAAAAATAGTTTATAAACTCGATACACTTGAGAACCCAATCGAACCATCACTTCTCAACAATGCCGGATCTGCTCCAACATGGCATTAACTGCGCGAACAACCCAGCCACGTTTCGTCCACTGAATTGTGTGCTTTTAGGCCACATTATTACTGAAGGAATTAAACATTTTCCAAATCAAGATCAGGTTCAGGCCTCCTGTTAAACCTCCATCTGGAGCGCTGGATATACGCGTTCACAAGTTATAATCACGTCAATGATTTAAGCTCTATAACATTTGCAACAGCTTGTGTGCCAAGATGACAATTCTGATCGAAGACCCAACATTTGTAATGGTGAATACTATTTATTAAACCTTGAATTTAAATTTAGAGGTCATCACACATCTAAATGTAAAAATTATAATCTCTCTACGCCAGACTACTTTGGAGAAGAGCCTCGGATTATGTGCGATGTCCCACATACTCCAAATAGTTAAAATTCTACGTAATAATTTACGCGGCATTTGACATTTAGAAATCGGACGCCAAAATGAACGCGGCCCATTTCACAGAGATTACACGGCTACGAAAACAAGAAATGAGCTCACAACCTCCTTACAAATCTACTTCCAAAAGCTTCTGCTCGAGTCTATCGATCAATGCGGCCGAGCCAAGGACCTTGGCCAAGAAGCCATGGACCCCATCGGCCAAGGCGCTCTCCACGCTCACGTACAGCACAACGTTGCCTCCAGGAGCATCCTCCGGTGCCCGTGCCAAGTGAAACGCTACCTGCGCATTGACCGCTGCAAGGCAGCAGCTACTCTTGCTGCTGCTGCTCAAAACGTCGACGTCCTGCCGCCACCAGCGGCTCGGCTTGGGTATGGGAAAAGCGCGGCCGCAGACGCTCAACACGGAGGGCTCGCGCGGGTCGTCCGTCGCCCAGGCGAGTGCGAGACGTCTCAGAGCCGGGAAGTTGACCGGGTCGGGGCGGCAGGGCTCCCAGTTGTGCACGAAGAGGCGCGCGGGGAGGAGATCGTCGATGACGGCGGCGTTCAGGAGGATGGCCTCCGCCTCGCTCTGCCGCACCTCCAGAGACAGCGAGCGGTCGGTGAGGGCGGCGGCTCGGGCGACGGTGGCGGCCATAGCCTCCGATGTCACATGCAGGTGGAAGATCACCTGCAGGGGAGCGGTGGCGAAGCGGTTAGCGCGCTTGCGACCCCCCCACCTCCCAAAGTTCGATTCCCACTCGCGTTGTGACGAGTATCCGAACCGGTCCCGGGCCTCCCCTAGGTCGTCAACTCCGCATCAAATGAGTAACCGGTGCGTAAAAACATCGTCACTGGGGGAGACAAAGGCGGCCTGGCGTGGTTGCTGGCCATCCCCACCCCCCTCGTGTGCCGTTCTAGCCTTCATAGTTGCTACTCGCCAACAGCACTTGCCCCAACAGTCTGTTAAGGCTATACGGGGGGCTCTTTGTCTTTGTAGCCGAACGTTACAAGAGGGGTCCCCGTTCAGGACGTCGCCACGCAGGGCCAATTACCGAATTGAGAATTCGCCGCAGTGGTCAAATTCACTGATCACGTAATGAAATAAATTGTAAAGTAAAAAAAATATTTGAAGGGTTAACTCTACGTTTGTTAGCCAAGTCAGTGGCATGTTCATTCCTACTTCATTCAATGGCCTACCCAGTGCTGATCAACAACATGTAGGCAGGTGCATAGAAAACTTCTTATCTCCATCGATATATGGGGAAGATGCTGGCACAGCCGATCCACAAATATAATTCCGAAGTTATCTGCAGCTAAAGTGAATTTGCCATTACATCTGAGTCACTCCTCTTTAATAGTCAATTTTGATCAGTAGCCTAAAAAGGAAACAGTGGACATCACAAAAAGTATAATTGTACATTTCAACGTTTTTTAAACAAAACATTCTTATGAACTTCGGATCGTGCCTCAAGCTGAACAAGATGAAATGACCACGGTAGGGTGACGTGTCACACAACCGTGGGGCAATCCTTGCAGCCAGGATGGGCACCACGCCACCACACAACAGAATCCCCACCACTCTGCTCGCGATCCACCCGCCAAAGCCTCACCGGGGTGAGGAGTGGCAGCGACACCGCGAGAACAGATCTGACGATTGTGAATCTCAAGGAGACGGGTCGCAAAGAGCGACAGCGAGGCATGATGAGCATGCGATTAAGCGGTGAGGACACGAGGTTAAACGGTCTTAACCACCGGTCTCAACCCAGGTGAAGAAGAGCAGGTTATTCAAACCATCCCATCTAATTATGCAGATCTAGGGGCGGTTCCTGAAATGTCTAGCTTTATAAATAGGGCCCGACATTATATAGGAAAATAAAGTATGTTTATGGCTGGCACGTGGAGGGTGGGGGAGGGTGGTGACACGTGTCTTCCATCTGCTCTTCTTCACCGGGGTGAAACTGGTGGTTCAGATCGTTTAATCTCGTGTCCTCACCGTTTAATCGCTCGACTCTCAGAGTCTCCCACTCCACCTCACCTCCCCCCGTCCTGGTATCCACCACCGATCGCAAAGAGCCGCTCGCGAGCTGCCGCAGGGCCACGGCCTCACCCGCGTGAAGAGCAGCCGGTGGCTCTTGAGCACCTCGGGGCCCAGCGTGTCCCCGCGCAGCACGTGCTTGCGCACCACGCCGGAGTGCCGCTGCCGCACGTGCTCCAGGGTGTGGCGCTGGATGAGGCCGGCCACTCCTTTGCCCCGGTGCTTGGGGGCCACGCGGAGACCACCGACGAGGGCCGTCGCCCCCCCGTCCGTCAGCAGCAAAGATTCTAGTGCCACCTGAGAACGCAGGGTGCTCAGGGCTCAAGAGCTTCGAGTTGGCACTGCTAGGGTGCCCGCGGTGGCCAGATATATTAACTACCTCGCCTGGTGGTGTACAGGAGGTCGTGGGTTCGATGCCAACCCTGACGCCTGCTGCTGTATATTTGTGTGGCACATTAGGAAGGGACCACTCTTTTAATGATATCCTTGTGCAGCAAGGGAGTAAAGTGGGTTTCTGTGAAAGTCCTGATGTGTTGTGCAGTGCATCAATGCATGTGTGTACAGCAGCATGTGATGACTGAATTGGGCCTGTAGGTGGCTGGCAGGGTTAATGATTAAGCAGACGTGGACACCAGCCACATGGTTAATGGCGACTCGGAAGAATTGCTGTGTGTGACACACGTGCTGTTGCATTTTACAGAGTGATGGTGCTGTTCTTCACAAGATTACTATTAACCACAATAAATGTGTCTGCCCTCGATTTGGAGCACCTGCCCACGTCCTTCATTTCGAGTGTACAACATTTGGAATTTGCATGTTCTCCCCGTGGTGGCGTGGATTTTTCGCCGGGGTTTTCCACATTTAGAATCAACGTGCGTTTAGAGAATTTGGCTGCTATCAATGTCCACACGATACGCCACTCCATTGGGCAAGAATGTGTGGCCATACTCTTTGGTTCTTTAGGTAAAATCATCATCTGATGACGACCGCTTGTGTTACAATCGAAACGTCGTGATTTCATTTATTTTATTTTTTACCTACGTGACTTTACCGAAAGAACCAAAGTGTATGGATCCCTGCAGTCACGAAAACTTCAAATGTAGATTGACATGTGTGGCCAGGTGGCTTCTGAAAAAGAGCTATATAGCTAAGTGGGCCTTACCTGGTAAAATAAAACAATGTTTAGTTTACATCGTGGGTTCGTATTCGGGTTACAGCTACCAGCAGGAAGGACCTGAGTTTGATTCCTGACATGGCAAACTTTTGTGTGGCTGTTCTTTATGGGTTTACTCCCATCACTTGTTGTGCTTTCCCCAAAATTCCATCCTGATTGTGCCATCAGTGGCATGATACGAGACAAAGTACACATTGGAATCTCTTGCAGAGCAGTGCAACATTTAGTGTCAAGCGAATGGTCCACGGAAATAGATATCACAGAGCGATTACTGACAGCCCTTCAAGTAACCTCCGGGCCACCAAATACAGTAGAGAGCAGTACTTTCACACCCAATCTGCCACGTGAGAGTTGTCGGTCATGGTAACTCTACGTTTAGCCTCGGCAAGATCTCGAAGTGTACCTAAGTGTACTTAATCGTACGCGTAAGACGGGGCAAACGGACGAAACACTTACGATTCTTCCCTGTAGCCGTGCGAGCATCACGGTTCTGTTTGGGTCCTTGAGCCAGTCGTGGTACACGCTTGGCAGGTAGTCTTTCCCTTCGTAAATGCCTTCAGACATGCGCATCACCTCTCCGTAGTCCTCCGGCTGTGCCAGGTTGAATACTAGGTCTTGCTCCATCCCCTTGTGTGTGCTCGACTGTGCTCTGACCTTCGAACCGCAACGCCTTATGTGAGGACTTTGAGCAATAATAGAAAGTGCCAGTTGAGCTTCATAAACTGCTGGCCTCGCTGGTGAAACAGAACACAAATTGCACATCTTGAAATAAAGCAATTATTAGCTTGAGCAATGTTTACTTGGACGCGTGTCAATGGTCTTTACATGGCAAGATAGCAAAACAGTTTTAATTGTATATATATTTTAAGTGATTTGTTTTTACCTTTTCGATACTTTTCAGCCATATCGTGTTGTTGTATTGTCTGGTGTTGCAACGGTCCTGACCTGCCCCTACTGGACAGCTGTGAAAAAGAGCTTCACGGCTCATCGGATTCCTCCAGTATAGACAAGTATTTGATTACTCTAGACGCATTCGAAACGTTTTAGAGATGAATATGCCTTGCGCCTGTTTTAACATGGAACGTGGGGCCAACATTAGGCCCGACGGTTCCCAAACGCGTTCCAGATTTGCGTCCAAGGTTGCCGCGTTTACTGGGCTACGGTCCAGAGATGGATTATATTCGTCAAGCGGTATATGTGGCACATCAGGAATGGACCACTCTTTTATTACACGCTTTCATTTAACTCACTTTGTCTGTTATTGTTGCTGTCGTCGTTGTTGTTGTTGTCGTTGTTGTATCCTCAAATTTTGTAACTCAATTTTAAACCACTTCCCAATGTGGTATCGACTGCAAACTTGGTTTACTTATGTCATACTGATGACAATACTATCATAAAAAAATATTTTACATTATTTTTTATATGTTATGTTTCGGCTTGGGTCTAATTGTCCACGGTCAACTGACGTTGGCTGTAATTGGCCACGGTCCTTACGTTGTGGCAAGCTTCGGGGTCACTTCCTAGAGTCGTGGAGTTCTTCCATCACTAGTACATTTCATAAAAGCGTGTTTAAAAAAAGTTTTTTTTTATATATTACTTATCTAATAAGTCCTTATGTGCTTTTGCAGTACATCAATGCACGTGTGTACACCAGCTTGTGATGAGTTGGGCCTGTGGGTGGCTGGCAGGGTTATTGATTAACTGGACTTGTACATCAGCCACGTGGTTGATGGCGACTCGGTTGAGGATTTCTGTGTGTGACACACGTGCTGTTGCATCTTACAGATTAACCACAATAAATGTGTTTGCCCTCGATTTGGAGCATCTGCCCACGTCCTTCATTTCGAGTGTGCAACATATACCGTCTCACAATGCGACCCGTCACGTGTAGAATGAGGGCAGGCGAACTCAACAAACTAAGAACAAGACGGGCAAGCACATCTCTCCGTGCCGATCATCGCGAACAGAGTGGAACAAGGGGGCATGTCCGGAATAATGTACCACCGCCTTGCATCAGTGGTTCACTGCACACAACCTAGTCCTTAATCCGAAAAAGTCAGTGGCCATCATGTTAGGTACCAAGCAACGTCTCAACTCATCAGCACTCCCAACACACATACACATCTTCGGTCACAGCATCAGGTTCACCGATAACTTCTGATACCTCGGTTTGATCCTAGATTCAACTTTATCCTTCAACAGTCAAACCAACCATATCATCAGTTCATGTAACTTTCACCTGAAGGCTCTCAGACACCTACGTCCTCTCATCTCCACTGAAATTGCCAACACATTGGCATGTTGCATAGTTGGGTATCGCCTCGACTATTGCAACTCCGTCCTAGTCCAGACCTCCGCTGGCAACCTAAAATAACTTCAAAGACTACAAAACGACCTCGCACGCGTCGTCATTGGCCACACTCATCCCCGTCTCGACTCACTAGCCTCTCTCCGTGCCCTCAACTGGCTCCCCATCGCCAGTAGGGTCACATACAAGACCGCCTGCCTCTGCCACAACGCCTTCATATCCGCCTGCCCGCCGTACCTTTCTTCATTATTGACGACTTGCAGCTCAGCACACGGCAGATGCCTGCGCAGCGCGACTCACGACCTCCTCTTGATACCAAGATCCAGGATGGTCACGTCTATGTGCCGCTTCTCAGTGGCAGCCCAAAAGTCTAGAAAGCCATCACCCCTATACACATTCGCAGCATCACTTCAATCGCCTCCTTCAAGAGAGACTTAAAGACTCACCTCTATAACCACGTGCGTTCGAGCGACTCTGAGCTTGGCTCCGCGCCTCTGAGTTGCGGCCGTTACGTCCGCAAATTTGCGCTCGTTACAAATGGCATTATTATTATAAGCGCCTCATTCGAGACGCAAACAACGCAACCTCCTGGCCGTGATATTTTCTCCAAAAGGACACCGGCGATAACGTCAACCGCATCAGAACATCAACAGCAGGTGGATGCGCAAACATCGCCTTCACGAATGAATATTGTAAGGAAAGGCACAGTCGTGGCATTGTTGCGGCTATGCGACCCCAACAAACATGGACCACTACAGTAAAACAGCCTACACCCCTTCAACGGAGGAGGAACAGCAAAAAGTGAAGAATAGTCTCCGTACCTGAAGCCCGCTCGCTATGGCTATCAGACGTCGACGTTGGTATTTATCACCTGAGCACACTGATGCTCAGCGCAGCAATGTACAGCAGCAATTGATTTCGCCTTTCACGAAACGGTGACTAACACCATCGCAATTTACGATTAACCGTGGAGCCGTACCATATAACCCTCATGTTTGGCCAAGACCAAAGTAAAACCTTTTATGACTCCAGTTGTTACAGCAACAGTCAGCGCCGCCACCACCACAACCATCAAGCACAACCCGCACCACAACCCGCACCACCACCGCAACCCTAACCACCACCGCAACCCTCACCACCACCACAACCCTCACCACCACCACAACCCTCACCACCACCACAACCCTCACCATCACCACAACCCTCACCACCACCACAACCCTCACCACCACCGCAACCACCACCACCACAACCCTCACCACCACCACAACCCGCACCACCACCACAACCCTCACCACCACAACCCTCACCACCACCACAACCCTCACCACCACCACAACCCTCACCACAACCCGGACCACCACCACAACCCACACCGCCACCACAACCCACACCGCCACCACAACCATCACCACTACCACAACCCTCACCACCACAACCCTCACCACCACCACAACCCTCACCACCACTACAACCCGCACCACCACCATAACCCTCACCACCACTACAACCCTCACCACCACAACCCTCACCACCACCACAACCCTCACCGCCACCACAACCCTCAGCACCACCACAACCCTCGCCACCACCACAACCCTCACCGCCACCACAACCCTCAGCACCACCACCACCACCACAACCCTCACCACCACCACAACCCTCACCACCACAACCCTCACCACCACCACAACCCGCACCACCACCACAACCCTCACCACCACCACAACCCTCACCACCACCACAACCCTCACCACAACCCTCACCACCACCACAACCCGCACCACCACCACAACCCGCACCACCACCACAACCCTCACCACCACCACAACCCTCACCACCACCACAACCCGGACCACCGCCACAACTCTCACCACCACCACAACCCTCACCACCACCACAACCCTCACCACCACCACAACCCTCACCACCACCACAACCCGCACCACCACCACAACCCTCACCACCACCACAACCCTCACCACCACCACAACCCGCACCACCGCCACAACTCTCACCACCACCACAACCCTCACCACCACCACAACCCTCACCACCACCACAACCCTCACCACAACCCTCACCACCACCACAACCCTCACCACCCGGCTTCCATGCTCCACGGAAACGAGGAGCTACCACAGAAGAAGATAATGGTGATATAAGTGATGTTTCATAAAACATAACTATAATATATAATACTTCACCGAATAATTAGAATCATATCTGATACGCCATGTACAGTCATCCAAATACTGAATAATTATGGATCCTTGTATTGGCTATGAAAGTCCACATTTAGGGTACAATTCAGCTTACCAAACAGCAGGGGCCACTACGGTGTATCTTCCCAGTCACATTTATACCTTGTGTACATTGCCTAACAATGATGTAAAAGAGTGTCTTTTGTGCTGTACGGTATTGAAGTTTGTTTTCTGTTCTATTCTCATCAACGTAACTGGCCCAAATGTCACTCTCCTGGAGAAAAAATTGCTATTTCCGCATCAAAAATAACAAAAAAAGTCAACACATTCATTAGGAACACTTTTGTAAATGAAAACTATAGAATTAAATTTATTTGTATACGTTGGTTTTCACGAGCAATATTAGGATACATTATTAGTTATTTTTGAGGTGGGAAGGTCGTGTCCATGTTTAAGGATGTCCCTCCACCACCCGACAGAGCCAATAAAAATGATTTTGTCACGTGGGCGAATGTGCCAGTTGTTTCGGTTCATCGGCAAAACGAAAATGTCGAAAAATTCGAGCAAAATTTGGTAATTCTTAAAATTACATTCAATTTTAATTTGTGTGCGTGTGCGCCACAGACAAATACGCTGTTGAATTAATCTCGATAATCTGCGAGGCTTCTCTTCATGAAGAACATCATGATTACATAATATTTGTTTAAGTGATGCCAATTGAGTTTGATTGAATAGTGCACCATTGCCTATCTATTCATTTTCCCAATCTACATCGGCGCGTGAGTTGAATCTTATTGACTCATTTCACATAGCTGATGAAGCTCCTTTTCTCGACACCTTTGGTGAACGAATGCCAACGTCTGCGATTACATCAATGGTCTTGGCATATGGTCAAGTCATTGTGTTACAAAAAGTTTTGTAAAGGTATGGAACGGGTCCAGGATGTTTAAAATGTCATTGGTTGCTGCTGAAGGTTGACTCACAATGGAATACTGCACACCGAGGTGGCGTAGGTTTGTAAATTCACACAAATGTTACGAAACTCTCTTCCCATGAGCGTGAAGTATATGGCGGTACAGCAAAAATGTGGGATAGAGTGTTTCCCCCTCGCACGAGCTTTCTCTTGAGTGCACTAGTTGCCTTTAGCTAGTAAGCACTCATTAGAAAGGCTAAAACCTATTTTTATTTTCATCAGTTTTGATACTGGCAAAAAGGTCTCACAGATAAGTACTCATTAATTAGCCAATAATATCTTAATACATAGAGGACCGCAGATCTTGGCCATTTGTTGGTGCCGGCTCACCACGTGGCTGATGCTGCTGCTGCCTTCCCCACTTGAATGTGGTTCCTCCTCGTGCCTCTGAGTCGTTCTCTCTCTATAAGAGTGAGCGACTACTGTGCGATGTGGTGCGTTACAAGTAGACATTATTATTCTTATCACGAGGGGCAGATTGACTTTGCGAAGTGGGCTTGGGCAGGACAGCTCGCTCGATAGGATGGCGCCCAATGGTCGAGCTTGGTGACGGAATGCCATCCCAAAGGAGGGATCATGATCACCGTGAAGATGGGGAGGGGAGCGAAATGGGTTATGACGTCGTGGGGCTTGTGAGAGATGGCAAAGACTTGAGAATGCATAGTCGCGTAGTGGATGGACCAAGACCCGATTATTATTTTTAAAAATTACATTCTTTTGGATTGTATTAGTTTTCACGAGATTTAGGTTTTATTTTGCGTCGCTTAAAATGTTTGATTTTACGTGTTTTTTCTTGTTCGCGAGTATTCGCGACTGTTAACGTTCATCTTTATCTATCAAAGGTCTCCTCTCCTCCAGGGGTTTAACCCACTGTAAGTCTGCACTCTCTCAACGGGAGGAGAAATCGCAAAAACCGCCCGAACCCTCCCTCCTGAAGCCCTCTCTTCGTGGCCGACAATAACATCGAGCTCCTGAACATATCGCCACCATGAATAAAGAACAAAAAGAGGTCTCCCTGACTAAATGAGCCTCGTCATGGCCAAGGGCACCCCACACATCCGATTATAAAACAGATCCACCAAATTTCGATTTAAAGCTTTTGTGACTGCAGGGATTACTCTTTTTGGTTCTTTCGGTAAAGTCACGTAGAAAGGAAATAATAAAATAATAAAAATAAAACATAATAAAATAATTCTCACGACGTTTCGGCCACATCGAAAGCAGCCGTCCTCAGGTGAAGAACAGATCTGTTGAGAAGACAGAGTCTGAGTTTCAGAATTATTTTATTTATGTTTTATTTTTATTCTTTTATTATTTCCATTCTACGTGACTTTACCGAAAGATCCACCAAACTCAACGACTGAGGCTGGGACAACAGAGTTTATTCTCTAGAGAGTTTGTTGTGTAGAGTGTATTCGCTTGAGAGTTTATTCTGTAGAGCGTTAATTCGCTGGACCATTTATTCGCTCCGGAGTTTATTCTCTAGAGAGTTTATTTTCCAGCGAGGTTATTCTCCAGTGAGGTTATTCGCTTGAGAGTTTATTCGCTACAAAACACTTTTAAACTCTCCCAAGATTCAACCACAACGCCCAGCCCCTGTCTGGCCACCAACGTAGAACCTTGGTGAGCCACGACCTCCTCCTCCTCCTCTCGGTGGTGGTGGTGGGGCGAAACCCACCCACCCACCCTTCGAGACTCCCCGCCCCAACCTGCAGTCGTTAAATAGAGTCCGACCGGCGTGACACGGGCTTCCTCCTCCAGCCACGAACGCCGCCTCCGCCACGATGCCGCCGCCGACGCTGATGCTGCTGCTTCTGTCACTGACTCTGCTCAGCACGGGCCGCCTCTGCCAAGGTGAGACGACGCACCACGCTGTGCCGAATGGTGGCAGCATCTATCTCAGATCTCACTCTCTCTCTCTCTGTGTGCGTCTCTCGATTGCGAGCCGTGCCCCCTGTCAAATACGTCGCATATCGCGCTCCGACCATTAATATTCACTCAAGAACATTGCATGAGATACTTCCAGTTGCGTTCAGTGGTTCAGAACTGCTTTTGTAACTTCATTTGCGGCAGCAGCGTAATCATTACTTTTGTTGATTGCCCGTATTCTCTGGAATATGAGACGCCACGGTTCTTTTTTGTAACCCTGTGATTTAAATTACAAAAAGTTGGGAGTGCATCTTATTTCTAGATTTGAAGCTTTCGTGACTGCAAGGATTCATATTCTTAGGTTTTTTTTCGGTAAGGTCACGTAGGTAAAACATAAAAATTAATGAAAATAAAATAGAATAAAAATCACGACGTTTCGGAGGCAACACAAGTCTCCGTCATTGCCTCACTTGATGCAGCTAATCCGGCTGTGACGGTCCCACCTGATGACGGAGACTTGTGTTGCCTCCGAAACGTCGTGATTTTTATTTTATTTTCATTAATTTTGATGTTTTACCTACGTGACTTTACCGAAAAAACCTAAGAATAAGATGCATCTTATACCCTGGTAGCTGTGCTGCGTAAGTTCATGGACACGAGGCACAAGTTTGGGGTGCGTCTTACTTCCTGCAATGCCTCACAATCCAGAGCAATGTGGTACTATTGAGAATATGGTACTATTGAGAGAAGTAGTAGTTAAAGCAAAATGTGTACTTGCAATTATTTTAGCGCTGATAATGTCACTATGGGCATTATGAGAAGTTAATTTGTCATGATTGTTCGTAAAAAATATATGGTAATAAGAGGAATGCGTAATTGTTACTCTCATGAATACCATCTGGGATCTCGTGGTGTATGAGATATTCCTTTTTTTTTATTACACTGAAAGTTTAGAATAGTTGCGTGGCTGGGTATCTCGTGCGTCTAATCTGGAGTACTAAGTTCACACCGCTGACATCCTGGGTTCGAGTCTGGGTGGTCAGCTGGGGTTACACGGAGCTTTGCAAGTGTAGCGAGAGGAGAGATAGTTCCAACCAAGTCACCAATCACCGCACACAAAACTCTGTTTTTAGATTATGATTTTTTTTGTCACTTAAATCAGATAATTCCATTTCTGATTGATAAAAAAAAATTGGTATAATTATCACGTGAAAAAGACACTCTTTGTGAAGGAATATACAACAGTTAGATATGCAAAACAGTGTGGTTAGAGACGTCTTCTGCAATGGTTGTAGAAGTAGTTCTGTGGTGTATTTTTCCGGGGCCGGTTTCTGAGCGGGTGATGATGCAATGAGATCTGCGCAAGTTCCGGTGTGGAAGATGCTCGGTCTCGTAGCATAATGATGAAGATAACACAACTGGAGGTGGGGGGTTAAAAAAGATATATGACTCAATTAAACTAAGTTGTTTGGTGATGTTTCTGCATTGTCATTTGTGCACAAGAACACATAACAAACACAAAAATCAATAATACGTTTGTCACTAAGACTGTAGCCTTAAAGGTACAACAATATATAATAGGTGACGTTTCAGGCAAAGGCCCTTCTAAAGTATACTGAATTGACATAAACCAAGGTGTGAGGGACTGGTATACTATGAAGTTGTAATTGGTCAAATGTGTCTTGAGGGTGAGATGACAGTGACAGGCAGAGCCTTACTCTTTGGGTCTTTCGGTAAAGTCGCGTAAATAGGTTCAAAGAAAATAACAATAAAAAACTACGACGTTTCGATCGCAACACAAGCGTTCGTCATCCTTCCTGATAAATGACGACACACGTTTGTGTTGCGATCGAAACGTCTGGAGTTTTTTGTAATTTTTTGTCATTTTATTTGAACCTATCTACGTGACTGTACCGAAAGACCCAAAGAATATGAATTTCTGCAGTCACGAAAGCTCTAAGTCAAGAGGTAGAGCCATGTTTTCATCATCGGGTTCTCTACATTCCTTTGCGATGGAAAATTAATCGTTTTCAAAAGAACCGTTTTCCTCTGCCCGGCCATCGCTTCCATATATACAACAGTGCCACCAGGAGGGTTCCCACCTCTGAGGTACAACACACTGGCACACGTCATGGGATGAAGAGGGGTAATCTCACAATACCACAAGAGCGGATAACCACATGCAAATGCATCGTATTGAGTGGTGTATTTTTATTATTACTGCTGCTACTATGCAGCTGACATAAATCAGGAATTTCAATGTCCCGGAAAGACTTGGAGATATCCCAGGACAGGAGCTGCCTCAAAAAAGGAGAACGATCCTGGGTAAACCGGGACAGTTGGCAACCCAAGCGTCCAGGGCCTTACATAAACGTTGCGGGGACAGAGAGAGAATTTTACCCTCACCATCACATCTGAAGGGGCCTCATGAAGGACAGAACGGGTTGTGTGTGTGTGGGGGGGGGGGGGGGGGGTGTACCCATGAGCCTCCAAAAACGTTTTGTGGGCCCAGGTGGTGACTTTCGTTGCAGTAACCTTGTCAAAAAGCCATCTTTCTGGTGACTGACTTCTTTACCAACGTTTCTTTGGCAAGCCTCGGCTTCGACGAACGGCTGTGTGCGTGACATTTGCCAGGAGTAGGTCACCTTCTTGTGACAACATGCCCGCTCTGCATCAAGGGCATCGTCGCCATTGGAGTGACCAGCTGATACTTCGACTTCGATGATAACGATGATCACATGCAGACAAACAATGAATCAGTGGGGTTGTCCTGCTTTGATAGCGTACCGTGATGTGTTCAAAGCAGTGGAAGAATATCGAAAAGCAGATGTTGTAAATGTTATTGAATACTTTCGTGCCATTCTGTAAGGTCGTGTATGTATGTGGAACTTCTTTTTCACCCGACGTAGCCAGCCGTATTAATCATCATTGCATACGTTTTTAAAATTATTATTATTAGAGTCACGTTCTTGCATAATATATCATAACCCTATGAATATTTAACATTTTTTTACAACACTCTTAATACTTACCTTCAATCATATATTTATGTACACCGACATAAAACAAATATGGCAACATTAGACCTTCGTAGCTACCTAGGCTCAAGGTGAGAATCGTTGATATGCACGTTATGCAGTACCAATAATAACAGTGTAATAAAAACATCTACATTTTGTCCCTGGGTAGTAAGTGTTATTTCCTAATTGCTTATGCCTCAAAAGTACAGAAAATGGCTATTATTCCCCACAAACTTTGCTTTTGTGACCGGGATGGTGAAATTTTTAAATGTACCTATTTTCAATGAGAAAACATGTGCATTTGTGGATTCGTTTACATAAAGTCCTGGTCACAAAAGCAAAGTTTGTGGGGAATAATAGCCATTTTGTATACTTTTTAGGCATAAGCAATTAAAAAATAACAATTATTACCCAGGAACAAAAAATTTCTTACATCGTGTAATGTACAGTGAGTGCCTGGTCAATCCAGTCAATGCTGGATGAAGAGCACTCCCCCTGTGTGTCAGTGATGTGGGGCTGATTGACCATACTTCACCACACTGCTCAGTGGACGTTTGGTAAAAAAAAAAGCTATAATGTATAAAATATTGTCAATAAAACAGGTGTTTTTGGGTTAGATCGTGTAAATATATAAATCTGTCGTTAAACCCGCCACCACCCGACACAGCCAACGAGTAAGGGTTGTCACGTAAACAGAACGTGCCAATTCGTCACCAGTACAGCATCACCGGTGTGCTGGAGAGCCAAGCCACAACATTTACCATCTGAGTACGACGTTTCGCCAGTAATTACAACTAGCTTCATCAGGCGGCAGCCAGATTTGTGGAGAAATCTTCCTCCTGTTTTTTTTCCTTAAATAGAGGGGTGGTTGTGATGACATGACTTGTGAGCTCTTCTTGCGCGAAGTGGAGGGGAGAGGGGGGTTAATGAAGGCATATAAATGACTATGGGTATCCACTGCCGGTTGGGTTATGTATATGGTAATTAATCAACGTGCATTTATACATGTGCATTATGCAAGCCCATCGTTCTCCTGTCGATTGGGGTCTTTTTGGGGGGGGGGCAGATCGCGTAAATATAAATGCGTCTTGAAAACCATGCTGATCTGTAAATAGTAAAATGAGAAATTGTGCAACTGAACTTGTAAATAAATGCTCTTGTGAAAACAAAATGAAAACAAAAAATGCATTCGATCCACTGAATCCCGTGTCAACGTTTCAACAAACGGAACGAAGAATAGAGTTTGCCATTGCGATTGACATTGAGCACACAAAGGCAGATTAATGAACCACTTCACAGTGAAAAGGCAACCCGTAAATCGATAAGCCTGCTCCCCTCGCCTCCAGTTATCATATTCCAATTATGGGCAAAGTCCTTTTCAAAGCCATAAAAGTACCTGAATGAGCAAAGATCAGGAAACACCCACGGGGTGTGGCTGAGTACCCTGAGCGTATAAACAAAAACTGCGCAGTTTGTGGAGTTTTAATCTTCACAAAAGTGTTTAACTTCCATTTTAGTGCACTCTTTTTTGTTCGAGTTCATACACACAAACACGTATTTTCATATAAGCCTCGCATTGCAGTACCATGGTTTTGTCATACCATAAGTTGCAACTTTGGTATTATTTGGCCAAAGTATGGTCTTGCCAAGGTTGGCAAGACAACCCTGATACAGGTGAATAGGTGGTGTGGGGTGTAGGCCCAACCCAAAGGTACAGTGAGGGTGAATGCAAAGGTTGTTTGGAGGTCAAGAGAATGTACAGCCAAATGTCACCTCCTGGACATAGCTGTTCGCAAACTCGACACACTTTAGGGCACCACTAAATACCATTAGTGCCTCCGTGTGTGGGTTCCAGTTGTGTGTGTTGAGTGTCTCGAGACCGCAGCTTAATTGAGATGCTACATGGATACAAACAACATTGGTGTTGCATTGTCTTCGCCAATGGTGCAATGTTTCCTAGCAATT